TGGTCCAAAGTGGTAAGTTACAGCAGCAAGACAGCCATTCCAGTTTATGTCAACGCGGATGATTGCTTCGTCTGACACTACATCAATATGAATGTAGAGTCCAGCCTAGCACCACTGACAGTTCGGTTAGCAGCTCTTTGTTCTGCAACAACTTGAAGACGGGCAGTTTTCTGCGACGGAACAAGGAGGAATGCTCATAGCCCTGCGGTTATACATGTGCCGTACCGCCCGACAGAACGCCATGAACTATTTCTGTTGCCGCGAATTGGGCGGAGCCCCGAGACCGGCCGGCTGCGGGCACGTGTCCTCGATCTGTGCCACTGTTGCTGCCTCAGGTGCTGGTGAGGATGCATGTTGCAAATCGGGAATCCTCTCCCCACACAGCGCTGTTGCGTGCGAGACGTTAATTGTTGCTTTGTGTGGTATTGATGCCATCTGCCCATGTTCGTCCGGGCGACCGCCTTCAGACGACTGCGTTGATGGATCCGGCTGTATATGACTTCTACAAACCTTTCCAAACTCTTGCTTGCATTCGAGCCGGCCAGATCTAGTTGCGCCTAGTTGTGCCAACCAAACGCCGCGGAGGTACTTTACTGTATGAGACTGAGTTGCTAGACTTGGCATGACACAGTATTGCAACAGGTGCCAAACGAACACTTGGGACGAGCGCTTCCTTGCCGACAGCCAGCCAAGCTAGTAATCATGATTGAGATTGCTTGCAAAGCATCTGTTGCAATTACGTATAAGACTTTCTCGTGATGTTGAGAGGCGAAAGCGGTTGTATTTTTCGTTGCGGGCTGTATCAGTTCGGGACACCGCTCACACAATCCAAAAGCTGTATCAGAGCATGCAAATACACCCCAATCCAACAGCCGAAGTCCGGAGGAGAGATTTGAACCTGGTGACACCCGAGGCTGGAATTGGTCGTATAGGCTTTAGGGTAGGCCTTCGGCTCGGGATGCTCAGGGCCGGGCCCGGCCACCGTGTTGTTGGAAGGTTTTGCCTTTGAAATTTGGTTGTGTGGCAGCATGAGCGCGGCAATCCAGCACAGTCTTCGGTCCAGCATTTGTGTTTATGTGGCCAGCCTCGTTAGCAGAAAGATTAAATAAAAGCTTGGGAAGTTGCTTCTTGGTAGACAGCTGATAGCTTCGTTGGGACACTGGCAGGAACCGAACAGGGGCTTGCCTGAAATTACCCACATACGGATGAGCTACAAACGTTGTGCCGGTCCTAGGGTAAGCTTAATGAGAACAGAATATCATGTGGACCAAAAAGGGAAAAGGTTGTTTGATTTTGATTCTCAGTACGAATATAAACTGTGTAAACATGGCCTATCAATCCTTTAGTTCTGAGAAATATTCACCTAGAAGTGTCAGAAAAGTAACCACAGGGACAACTGGCTTGGCTCCAACTGAAAGAACGGAAGAACTTTGAACTTGAACCTTTTTTTCCTTTGAGCCCTAGCCCCGAAGTCTTCAACCGTAGTACCCTGCACCACGTAGAATTGACCGGAACTTGGCGGCTTCGAGTCGCCATCTTTCGGCACATCATGGCCCACAGATTCAGCAAAGGGTCCTTGATGTGTGTTTTGGCAACATCCTGCGTTGGGTCAGCTTGTCCAACGAACAGTCTGAAGCTATATGGCAGGTGTTGCAGGAAGTTTTACCGGTCTTTTTACATGGGTCCCATAAGCTAAAACTGCCAACCACAGCCTGCCTGGCCCTCTACATTCTCAAGGGAATGTATAAAGTAATAAGTTATAGAAGCCGCAAAGGGTTTTTGTGTGTGTGTGTGTTGCAAGAAGAACGAAAACACGATTCTGGAGGGATGTTTTCTTTCCCTAAAGAGCATCAAATAGGCATCCCAGCTCACCCCGCGAGCAGCGGCGAATCTAGAGCTTCACAGGTGACTTGGCTTGTCCTGTGGTATTGTGTAGCCAACATACGCGGGTAGCCTACATGTTCGGTCCCATTTCGGGGCCAATTGAAGGCCCTTGCAACGTAAGTTTCCCGGCTCAGGATCTATACTGGTACCGTGTCCCTCATTTCTGACACGCCTGGGTACAAGGTTTTCGCTCTCGTTCAGCTTGCCGGGAGAACCCTGAACCTTTTTTGTTGCAGGCGACATGCTCTTTTTCATTCTTTGGTAAGTATCGGGTAGATCCGCGCGTAGATGCTGATCCGAAAGGAGCAGCGCTGCATCCAGGCTTCTGTAAGCGTGGCCAGTGACAGAGCTCCGCAATATACTGCACGCACACTGCAATGGTTGAAACATAAGTCTTAACCCTAAACCCCTGCGATTCCCGGAACTGCTGTAGCCCTACTAAGCCCCTGCATTCAATGGAAAGAAGTAGGCGAGGTTCTTAGTTTTGATTTTAGACCTAAACCTTCAACCTTCGCCCGCGAACATTAACCACAGTTCACAGGTCATAGAAATGCTGTTGGGCTTGAGTCGGGCTCTCGTAAACCACGCCAAACCCGCCTGCATATGATGCCGTGCCATAGCCAGTTCTCGTACCCTTTAAAGAACCATGAGGTGCTGTACCCAGAAGACCGAAGACCGTTGATGAGCAAAGCTTAAACAATATCAGCGATCCCCTATAAGTTGAGGTGCAGCTTCTTGGTAAGTTCATACTCAGTGTAAAGTGCATATTCCATAATCAAGCGGTATCGTTTTTTCTGGGAAGCCTGCAATGAACCATTAAAGATCAGAAAAACCATATACGACCCGGTGAAAGCGTGTTTTAGGAATCAAGGGTTTTAGGAATTAAGGGACCTTGTGGCAACGAGGAGGGTGGCCGATGTGGCCGCCAGTGTCGGGCTCGGAGGAGCCATGGGATGCGCCGTTGCGGTTACGAATAGTCATGGTTTGCAAGAAAGAAACGGCATTCTGAAACTACTGCTGATGGACAGAATCCTGCTTTGTCCGTCGTGCGGAATACACCATATTTACCACAGCTCCACAGTGCAGGGTGCTCCCGATGGAACTTCCGATTTCATTGTTTTTGCACACGCACACGTTCTATGGCACATATCAGCAAACTGAGAGCTCCAGGTTCAAGAAAAAGCAACTAGCCTAGTGACAGGAACCGGTATCCCCCGTCGCACTGAATGGCGAACGCAAGCCTTGTCACCACAGCAAGCAAGGCTTCAGTTCGGGAGAAGGCGAGGGGGTTTTGCGAAGATAGGTTACCCTGACACACCTGTAATGCTAAGTACCCCCCCCTCATTCTGGGACCCTATCTCTACTAGAAGCTGAAGAAAGAGCCCACAGACAGTCGAGGACCTGATTCACAGGGCTCATCGCCACAGCATGCGCGATGGCAGGGAGCCGGCTACGCTTCGCGGGGTCCTCAGAGGCTGAACACGAGTCTGTTGAGGCTTAATATAGGGACCTTAATAATGACCTATACGATTTTGGGGGGTTCCTTATTATGGTTATAGTATAATTGCATAATATACCCCAAAACCCTATTCTAATTATTGAGGCCTCTATAGTAGCGCGTCATATAGAGGCACATGTAGTTGCTTACCCTTACAGTTTTCACCTACGCCTTCCGTTGTTCACCATCAGACGGCACAGCTCGAGTGGCCAGCTCGTGCAGAAGTAAAGGGGCGTCGTGTCAACACTTGTTAGCATCCCTATGCTGAGTCTTCGGCACGGTGAAGGGTCAATACAGGGGTCGGACAAACGATAGCAAGCACCAGATACCTGCATTATCAATGTTGCTGTGGTCAGTAGTGTCAAGATCGTTGCTTGCAAAGTTCCCCATACCCTAAACATGCCACAACCCTAAACCGTCTTTAGTCCTGTGATCTGACCGAGACTAAAAGGAATAATTAATAATGATTGAAGACTTAGGATTTGCATGTCGGCACTCTCACCTGGAAGAAAGACCATCCGACGGTCTACCGTCTTGGTCCTTGCCGTATGCACTGGTATGTGTGCATGTATGTATGCAGGTAGGTACGTATGTATGCATGTGTCTATGCATGCATGTGTTATTTTCATTCTTGCTTCGTTTATGATCTGACGTAAATGTTTTAATTTGAGGGTTCACTTCGGGCTCTCGTGACGGATGCCATGTGTTCAACCAACAAAGAACTCTAAAAGTATAGTGTACCCTTACAGGAGCCCTTCACGAACCGGTGAAAGGAACCCTTGTGGTAATATGAGTGGCTAAATCATTACCAATACTATTTTGGGGGGCTCCTTGTTGTAATTACAGTATAACGGGTCCCAAAATAGAATCTGATTATTAAGGATTATAGTACCCTTCAGCGATTCAGCCTGCACCCTGAAAAGCTTTGAAGCCAGTTCTTCAATTTCTCTCTTTATAATATAAACATTATCATATATCCCCGAGCCCTGCTCGAATTATGAAGGCCCTGTACTAAACCTAAACCCTAAACCCTAAACCCTAAACCCCTATACTAAACCCTTACAGCATCCCTATATCTTATGCTAGCCAAGCCCTCTTTTCTTTGGAGGCCCCGGAGCTTCGACGGGCTATCTCCGACGAGGACACTCGACGTACCTTCCTGGCTAATCCTGTAGCACCCTTAAAGGGTCCCTTGTAAGGGATCTATAGGGAATCCAGAAGGGTATAGGTATAGGGTCTAGGGCCTACTTGGAGGTTCATTTGTAATTATAAGTGGGGTTATAAGCACGGTAAGGAAAGTTATAACTCATATTAGGGGACTTATAACCCCACTTATAACTACCCATGAACCTCCAGGTACCCTTACATAGGCCCTCATCACGTGGTGATACTCATACTCAATCTGAACGTTCCAGGCTCCTACTTTTTGGGCCTATTTTCTAAATGGGAGTTTCCGAAAATGAGGGGTGCCTTTGGAGTCCTTGTCATCAGGATCGTACAATCTAGGGTGCTATCTCAAATTTCCCAAATTTTACATCCTTAGCCCTGATTTTGCCTGCTTGTTCGAGTGTGCGAGTTGAAACTTAAACCTCTCCCCAGGATGCAAGCCGATCCAAGCATGCTCGTTCCAGTGCAGCACCCGGCGCGCGAGGCGCGCGTGACAGTGCCACCGAAGGCGCGGGGATGATGCGAGGAAGAGGAAAGTCAGAAAAGGCTTGGCGTTTAGGGTCCAGGGAGTAGGACTTAGAGCGGTTTTGTCGCTTGATTTGTGTTTAGCGGTTTCACATTGGTCTCTACGATTCTGTTCTCCGCCGAATTTTCGGTGAGATCTTCCAATTTGGAGGCGTTGTTCAATGTGCCCAGACTTACACATTCAACAAGTTCCTGTCAGTTCACAGAGTAGCAAAAGCAATGTCAGCACAGTCCCTGTCCATGTGCTTCTGAGACTGAGGACGGTCTCTCTCTATAAGCGAGAGAGGGAGAGGGAGAGAGAGAGAGAGAGAGATCTTTGCCATAGTTGGGTAACATTTTATATTTTTATGGGTACTTAAGCCCAATAAGGAATAAACGTATGAATTTTTAGTCCTATCCCAACCATGAACTAGATATTGTGTAGAGAGAGGAGTGTTCTGAGCATTCAACTCAAAGCCCGACTTAACAAACAGGCGTATACGGACCCGCCAACATCGGATTTGCAAGCCCTGAGCCCAGGGCCCCCTGGCTGGGCGGGTGAAAAAAACGCACGCCCGACATATTCATTATTCATGCAGATGCCTACACCCTCGCCCCTGAACCCCACCCAAAACACCCCCCCACCAAACACCACGTGAGATTACCATGGGAGCAACAACTTACGATAAAGAAATTTTCAATCCCTCAATCCTCAATCGGTGCGAGGAACTCCTTCTGTCAAGCAAGAAACAGCCCGCAGAGGCCGAGATGGAGTTCGGCAGCCTCGCCAGGAAGCGGCATCAGCTCGGCAGCATTGAGGTGCTTCAGATCTTGGGCTCCTCGTCATGCGCTTCGCTTGTCTTTTGGGTGTGTAGCTTATATACTGTTTTGTTGGGCTTAGGTGTAGGTAATTCTGGGGCTTAAGACTCAGATTGTCTCTCTTCGGCAGTGTGGGATTGGGGGGTGGGGGGTTGGAGGTTCTGGTTTTCAGTAGCTCTGAGGCATCTGGGTTCGGCGAGAGCAGGCTTATTTATTTGGGTTTTGTTAGAGTTCTACTACGAGCATTATAGTGCAGGTTCCAGGGAAGCCGGAAAGCCGCGTTTCACAGAGCCTTGCAGCAACTCTTTGCGCCTTCCAGGATGGGGTTTTTGTCATTGTGGTCTTGCCTTTGGGGTTCTGGGTGAGTGTACGGGGACTCAGGAGGTAGGGGGGGGGCCATGGGTTTCAGAAGAGACACTCGAATTCAGGGTCAAGTGCCCAAGAATAATACCTAAGCCTTTGCCCACTGCTGTTTGTGCTTGCTTTTGAAGCCGCTGATTTGCGCCGAAGAAGGTTTTCTGGTCTTCGCTGAACCCAAATTGTCCTAGCCGAGTGATTCACTTTTCCAACCGGGCAAAGCCATACTCTACACCCTAAACCATAAACCTAAACCCTAAACCGTTCTGCTCGTGTCTGCATCTCGCGAGGTTTGCGGCTGATCCTTCACCCGGAGACTCCGCCTTGTTAAGCATCTTCTTGGGTGGCAGGGCTTTTAAGTATAGGATACGCTTTCAACCCCCAAATCCCCTGGCCCTCAAACCCATAAACTGTGAACCCCTTTACACTGTACACCTGCACATCACATGACCCACAACCCTTTCACATCTGGGAGGCTGTAAAGCACCCAAGATAAAACATGACCAATAATCCCTTACTGTGCCGGGGGTGTATTCCCCATTATTGCCCGTAGTGCTCCAAGGGTCCCTTCAGTACAGCTCCCAAAAAGGATCCCTTTGGTACCCTACCTTCTTGAACCACCCTCCCTTTTTGCTAAACTAAACCCTATAAACCCCTAAACCCTAAACGGATTAGAGCCTCGCTTGGCATGTCCGAGTTGTGGGAGCGTAAACCGGATTGCGGGTTGATGGGTTGTTTATATGGTTTATTAGGCTTTGCAAAGGTCTTAAGGGGTTAGAGTTACGTCCTTCAACTCGCATTATAGTCATTAAGAGTCAGCGTGATAGGAAGCAAGTCGCCACGGGTAACGGCGCTGTCGCCGAGCATGGCGAGGCGTCAGCGTCTTCATCAGAGTCACGATGAGGCGATTGCACCAGTGTCGGTGGTTCAACATGCTTCTGCTGCAGCAGCTGCAGATCCACTAAACCCTAAGCCAAAACTTTAAACCCTAAACCGCTCGAGCTCCTGCAAGGCAAGGGAAAGGGAACTTGTCAAGAGGGGGACATGGGAGTTTCCGAAAATTAGGGGTACCTTATTTTGAGGCCCTTATAATAAGGATCCTATTATTTTGAGTACTATGTTAGGGTCCCCTATTTTCGGAAACTCCCAAATCAAAGGTGAGCAGAAGCTGCAGGCGCAGGCCGGCTGCCCTGCCGGGGCGACATGCAGCAAACGTGCTCTAAGGAGGATGGCACGTGAGAACTACATCGAAAAGGCCAAAGCGAGAAAAACGGAACAGCTGACAGCCATTGTGGAGAATGCCTTTTGGAACAGCTCTGCCTCAAAGGGTGGAACATCGTGCAGCTCAAGTCGGCGTGAACCGACCGCACAAAGTCGGTCGTCAGCAACGAGTGATGCCGAATACCCACTTCATATTGGTTCTATTTTTTATGGTTCCATGCCCCTTTCACGATCCTAGAGAGTCGTCGGCACGCGGTTGCTGTAGCTGCGAGCTGGATAGCAGGCCAATTTATACTTCACATATACCTTTCATCCTTCACATCCTTGTTGTCTCTTTGATCGTATGACTCTGTTCGGTACTGCAACGCCAGTTCACATGTAACGGTAGTAACGGTAGCAACGAGACCTCATGAAGCCGTGCTTGCGTTGAGCGAGTGTGCGAGTCGAAACCCTCAACCCTCTATAAATCCGAATGTACGAACCTGATCAAGAAACCCTGGGCATGTAAACCCCCAAATAGTAGGATTCATAAAAGGAACCCGAATAAACGCTTAAGGTTTCTTAATCAGGTTCCGACCCTAAGACTAGGCTGGCAGCTGGCTCGTGGAGGTCGAGAGCACCCTTCCAGCAGCGCTTGAGCACCGGGGCGCGGTTTGAAAAGGGATCAGGGTTTAGGGTTTAAAGTGAGTTTTGGCGTTTTGGGTGCTAGCATATTTGTAATTTGTCGGTTTGGGTGTACCAGGGCACCGTTTGATTCTTGGGTGTTTTTGGGGGTCTTTAGCGTCTTGGGGCACCAGGACACAGTTTGATTTATTGGCGTCTTGTGCAGTTGGACGGTGGAGCTCTGTAGGGTTCTAGGTAGGATTGTGGGACATTTTTTATTTTCCTTATTTGGGTTTATGAGGGACCCTATATATATATATATATATATATATTTTTTTTTTTTAATTTTTTCAGGCTGTTTAAAGACCAACCCAGGGTTCTAGTGCTTTTGGACTCTTGGCCATTGTGACTCTGGGAGTTTTGGGTGTTGGGGCTTGATTATTTTAGTGTTTGAGGGTTCAGGGTTTACTGATGCTTAGGGCCGAAAATAGGGTGGGACCCTAATGTAGCACCCTAAATAGTAGCATCCTGATTATGAGGACCACAAAAATAAGGTATCCCTAACTTCCTCCTGCTGTAGAGCTTTAGGGCTTTCGCCTTGGGTGTGTTGGACCGGGTTGGGGGAGCCCTTGGAGCAAATCAGGGTTCCTTCTAAGTAGGGCCGTAGGGTTTGTGGACCTGAGGGTCAAAAAGGAAAAGGAGGGACCCTTGATGGGGACCCCTACCCTGTAATGGGTTATATAATGGGTATACAATAGCTATATTAAGGGTATATATTAGAAGGTGCCCCCGCCCTGTAATAGTGGCATAGTAGGAATATAATAGGGCCCTAATATAATCCTTATAGTCACTATTACAGGGTGGGGGCACCATCTAAGTTCCTTCAATGATTCAAGGGTTCCTTTCAGGGTTTCTGCAGGGCTGCAGTTCAGTAACACTTTGTTTGTATTGATGTCTTGCGGTATAGGGCTTTAGCCCTAAACCCTAGAATCACCCAGAACCCCTCCAATCCATATAAGCGTCTTAAGCATTCTTAAGCTACCCCGAGCGCTGCATTCTAAGTCCTGGGTTCTGGCAGAAGTGCCCCTAAACCAAGAGGTTAAATCGCTATCTTTGAGTCATCCAGCCATGCAGGAGGCAAAAAATATCGCTCAAAAAAGAGAAGCAAGCCCCGCATCTTAGGTTCTGGGAGAAGTACAAGGGCATCCGCCCCGGCGACACGTTGATCCGGGTGGAGGGACGGGAGGTCGCCTCCATGGATGGGCAGGCGGGTTTCGGAGCTCAAGGAAACGAGTTTCGCAGTTTGGGAGGGGTAGTTTTAGGCTTGTGGTTTGGGGTTTCGATTCAAAGGAAGGGTTTACGATCTTTAGGATCAATCAAGGTTGTGACGGGTTTAGAAATTCGGGTTTAGGGGTTCGGGTGTGGGAGTTTCATGTTCAAGCACTTAGGGGTGTAGTGTCCAGGATTTGTAGGAATTTAGGGATCTTTGTAGGGTACTGCCTTGAAAAGTACAAGGAGGTTGTGCAACCGGTCCGCAGAAAACGGAAAATCTTCTGATCACATCTTTGTAGATGACTAGAAATAGCCCGAGAACCCAAGATTTCCCGCCAACCTTGAAACCCAAACCTTAAATTTAACTCTGAAACACAAAGAGAGGCAAGAAGGGTTGGGACTGGGAGTCACCAACCTGGATAGAAGAGGAGTCGGAATACTTACTCATGGTAACCGCCATATAGTCTCTAATAGATAAACAGTGCAGTATCCACGATATACACAAAAACACTGGTTCTTTTGGCAGTAGTGGTTTTATCTAGATGTGCCTGCAAAGCATGCACAGGTTTGTTTGTTTTCGCAGGTGTGTGTGTGTGTGTGTGTGTGCATGTCTCTGCACACATACATGCATGCATGCATACATACATACACACATACATACATACATACATAAATACATACATACATACATGTATTTTGTGTATGTGTATGTGTATACATGTATATGTATACGTGTTTTATGTACTCTACATGTCACATGCACACAGTCTTAAATAAACGTTATGCGCATGTACGATCATGTATGTATACATTACTACTATATTCACATATATATATATATATATATATATGCTCACACCCCCCACCAAGACCTACCGCGAGGTGCTTCGGCTAGCAATGGGTAGTAGAACATGTAAGGAGTTGAGGAAACCATTAGGATAAAATACACTCATACATAAACAATGGAAACATATATCGTGTATAATCAATAGCTGAATACACTGTAATGACCTACGACGGCGCGACATCGCCGTTGGCGGATTTGGGCAAGCTTCAATGCCTGCAATTGTTTAATAGGATACTGCCTAAATGTTCCGGATATTCATAACTCTGGTCATATAATGACCATAGGCATAACCCGAAGACAGGACCAAGACAGAACAGTGTCTGCGTGCTACGTAAGATCGTTAGATGCGCCGGGTAACTTTGTGTTTGTCATTGTCTGTTTTTAACTTTGTTCATGTACTCATAGGCATAACCCAAAGACGGGACCAAAACAGAACGATGTGTGCATCCTACCTAGGATCGTAATGAGGGTTACATGTGCACACATGTTTATTCTGTGTGAAGCTCTTAGGTTACTCATGCGCCAATGTGTATAATAGCTATTACTAGTGCGAATACTAATACTGATACTAAGGTTTCTATTCCTACGAATAAGGATATTACTGTTCATAACATAATAGGCTTAATGGTTAATACTAGTATTAAAAATTACACTACTAATTCGAATAGTAGTGCTGATGGGAATATTAACACTCCTGGGGATACTAATACGCATATTCTTATTAACTGTTCTCAATATGAATACTAATAGTACTAGTTGTTTGGAATACTAATACTTGTCCGAATATTCATACCAATACTCAGGCTACTGCGATTATACATAATAGGACATTAATATGGGTATTCGTATTAAGGTCAGCATTTCCTTCGAAAGTATTCATATGCGCATCATAATTCATCTTAATACTCGTACTGATATGAATTAGTATGATTACAAATACTTTTACGAAGACGGGTACTTTCAGTAATACCGATACTAATATGAATACTAGTGTTCCTACGAATATTAAAAAACATACCCATATTGATAGTAATTTTATTTTTTATTTGTTACCAATATACACGCAAATGCTAACATTAATACTAATATGCACATAAGTGATACAGTTCCTCCGCAGATTAATGCGCATAGTCTTATTAATTATTCTCAGTATTTATGTTCACATTAAAAAAACCTACACTAACATGAATAGCAGTATTACCACTTGATACTCCAGCTAATACGATTATGCATAGTATGAACAGCGATACTGCTATTGATACCAATATTAATGCTCCTACGAATACTAATAATCACGTTCAAACCAAAGACAAAAAACAGACACATCAATGTACCAAAGAATCTGTATTTTCACATACCAATAAATAATATACTCGTATACTATTCCAATGTTACCATAGACTTACAAATACAGAATATACTGATATGAGACTATACACTGGTTAATATTAACGCTACGAATAAGGCAGAGACTAAGACCAAGACTAATACGAATACTAAAACTCACACTAGACACTAACACTACCATTAGTACACCTAGCTATTGTATAGACTTATATTCAGACTAATACTAACGCTGACATTGGAATTGACATTGACGCTGACACCAACACTAACCGTAACACTAATCAACACGCTAGAACGCAGATACTAATACTAACACTAATGCCTAATGCAAATCTGAAGACTACTGCGCGTAAACAACGAAACCATTTCCGATCAAGCATGCTGCGCGCTGTATTGGCTCTAAGGCTCCGAGAACCAAAAATCCAAAAAAACAAAAATCCAAAACCTTTGTCAGGGGGGTCGAAACTTTTGGATTTTTTTGTTTTCCTAGGTTTTTTTGGTTTTCCAACAGAAAACCAAAAAAATCCAATGTCTTTTTGGTTTTCCAGCAGAAATCCAAAAAAACACAGGTGTTTTTTGGTTTTTCACGAGAGACACAGCAGAAAAACAAAAAAAACCTTGTTTTTTGGTTTCCCACCGAAAATCCAAAAAAGCCATGGTTTCGCCAAGGCAAAGCCCAAAAAACCAAAAAAGACCTAGGAAAACCAACAAATCCAAAAGTTTCGGGCCCCTCAGAAAGGCTTTGGATTTTTGGTTTTTTGGTTTCCGCCGTCGTCTCGTATGGTTTCTTTTAATGTTTCTTGCTTATGAATACAGGCATATGAATTTGAAAGCGGACATGAGTAGGCACGACGTTGTAAAGAGACATGACTTCACATCAGCCATGATAGAGAAGGTATCATCCCCGAAAATTACGCAAAACACGAATCGTATGCCAAACGCGAATCCCTGCCAAGAGAAGGTTTTGACGGTACTTACAATGGAAAAGAGGCCGAGGTAGGTCATGGTGGGGGGTGTGTCCATATATATATATATATATATACACACACACATATATATATATATATATAGATGTACACACATATACTTCGTCTGTCACGAGTTGATCTCGACAACCGCAAGGCCTTATCGAAAATCCGCCAAAGTTTACACCACGGGCTTCAAGCAATGGGCTCTACTCGTTGGGCTTAGGTCACTAGGTTCAGACTCAGAGTGCCTATTTGGAGGTTCATGGGTAGTTATACGAGGAGGTGTAAGTCCCCGATACGGATTACAACTATAGTTGCCTTACGTATAACCCCACTTCTAACTACCCATCCGCTATATACCATAAATATAATACGGAACCCCCCCAAAAAAGTGTTGATAAGTGTTCTTAGGCCCCTCCAGGGTCCCTAAACCCTCAACCCCTAAACCCCTAAACCCTAAACACCTTGAGTGCGTGACGGAATTCAGTTGAATTGATGAATTGAAATATACAGTCATGAATTTGCGTCCTGAACCTGAGCACCCTTGTCTGTAGCAGTCAGGGTGATAGTAGCCTTTTGAAATAGGGGCATTGCCCAGACCTGTGCCTGACCTGTCGTCGGGGGTATGACTGTACCTGGTTGGTTTGATGCAGTTATACGTTTATTGTCTGTTGCGGGTACCCCTGAGACGGTGGGCGTGTGTGGAGATACGATGGACTATGTGGAGCCTTGCCTGCCTGTGCGAGTGTGAGCGTCGAAAACACCTAAACCGCTAAACCCTCAACACCTAAACCCTCAACCCCTAAATAGTAAGCGAAGTTAGACACCTGCAGGCCTTGGAGAAGCTTCTGCTCGCTCCTCGCTCTGCTCCTCCTCCGGCATTTTAGGGCAGTGTTCTGAATATGGGAGTTTCGGAAAATCTATAAGGGTTTAGAGTTCCGAAAATTACGGGTGCTTTATTTTGGGATCCTTATAATAAGGAGCCTGCTATGTAGGGTACTATACTAGGGTCCCCGATTTTCGGAAGCTCCCATATTATGGACCCATTTTTTAGAAGGGTCCTTGCATGAAAAGGTCCTAATATGTAGTGTTTTATTCAGAGGATCATCTCAAGTTGCAGATAAGCAGCGAGACTGAGGCTAAAGGGGTTTGGCGGCAGCTCGTCTTCAAACGCACGGCTGTGAACCACCTCCGATGGCTCCGGGAGGGACCCCTCTGCAGCGCAGCGCGCTGGGAGGACACCCAACCTGAGCCCAAGGTGCCTTCAGGGGCGCGTGGTCTCGGATTCTGCTGGATTTAGGCTTCGGGTTTCATGTTTCAGACGTTGCTAGAAAGTATCTCGCACACCATAGAGCCCGAACCCGGAACCTAAACCCTACACCCGACAAAACCGCAGAGCCCGAAACCGAGCCTAAACCCTGAACCCGAAAATCCACAGAGCCCGAGACCCAGGCTCAAACCTGAACCCTGGATACCAGAGCCCGCATCTTCTTAGATAGTGAGCGGGGGAACTCTAGACTTTTTTGCCCTTATATATTAGCTCTATCTTAGAAAGATTGAACTTTTTGGGGCCCGGTTTTTGAAGAAGAGAGACTTTGGAGGTGCTCTCCGGGCTGCAGCGCCTGGCTGAGGACTGGCAGTTCGGTGGGGATAGTTTCAGGGCTTGGAGTTTGGGAATTATGAGGGTCAGGAGATGGGGTTTAGGGCCTGGGCGTGTGCTTTTGACTCAGTCAAACAATCGGGTTGTGTGAACTAGATTGGGTGTTTAGGGCTTGGTTGTGAGGAATCTGGCTATGCATTGGAACTAGAGCCCTTTGAGGGGTGCTTGCTGCGGGCTTACTAATTGTTCGGCATTTGAATATATACATAGTATGAATGCTGTATACTTTAAACTAAAAATGTGCTTACAGCTTGATGTTGATTTTCAGGTCCCTATATTCAACTCAACAACAATAATTGTTCGGCATTTGAGTATCTACATAGTATGAATGCTGTATACGTTAATTTAAAATGTGCTTACAAGTTGATGTTGAGTTTTCAGATCCCTATATTCAACTCAATACTGCGAAAGCTTTGATGCGGCCTTTTCTTCTATCCCAGAATGAAGGGATGGTGGACTTCTGTTTTCAGCGGTTCCAGGCTCGAGGGGTTGCGGGTTGAGGGCCAGATGCCACTTCCCCTAGGGATCCAAGGACTCATGTATTAAAGGCCTGATGGATAGATTTAAGGCAACTACAAGCCTAAGGCTCCGAGGACTGATATTTTAAGGCTTCTGGGCCCAAAGACCATACTATATAAGGCTTTTGGGATATTTTGATCCCTAGGGTTCTGTGGCCCTGACATGTTGAGCACCTTGGAGGCACAGCCATGCAGCAAGAGAGGCTCCCTCATCAAAGGATGAGAGTGGGCCAGCTTTGCCATAAACTCAAACCAAGCGCCCTAACGCCAAAAGTCCACCATTTTCCACCACCCCCACCACCCCCACCACCCCCACCGCCCCCACCACCCCCACCCACCCCCGCCCCCCACCCCCACCACCCCCACTAGCCCCAAGCCTAAAGAAGTACAAGTGTGAGAGGACCTCCGAGCAGAGGAGGAGCGTCGGATGATGCCGCCTGGAACTATGTTTCGGCTTCATAACAGACTTCTGACAACAAGACCTGCTAGACTAGGATAACAATTTTTTGGACAGAGATAAAGAACACAATAACCCTAATAACCCTAAGCCCTAAACCCTGAACCCAATCTTCATGCCTTCCGGTAAGTCTGAGCATGGCCGAGGCTGGAGAAGCAGACGGTTTTGGCTGAGCAATTAGCTGCCAAGGTCGCCATGACGCAGGACGGGTTGGGCTGGTTGCCGCACTTCGATTGGGGAAGTCGAGGGACAGCACATGTCACTGACCGTCTGACCGGTAATTATGCTTCCGTTTCGTGTTCCTGCCTAGCTGCAGCCACTGTAGTGCGTGGTTACTCCATTGTGTAGTGCAGCTCCATACTCCCAATTTGTCACTGCTAGGCTCTTGCACAGAGAGTGCGGCGAATGGATTTGTGTTTAGTACCACTAAACCCTAAACACCGGACACCGCGGATCTTCAATATGCTCACGGCCATGATTCTCCCCCTGCTCCGCCTCCTTGCCCTTGCATGATGGTGATGTCACTGCAATGACCACCACCACCACCACCACCACCACCACCACCACCACCACCACCAGTAGTATTTCAGCATGTTTGTAGTAGTCGTCATCACCACTACCATCCCCATGGCCGTGATCAACTGAGGTTTCCTTGATATAGAAAGTCAGAAGTTGAAATTGGCGGCAAAATTCTTTGCTTTGTGCTGCCATGACACGCGGCATGTCAGAAGTGACGGTCGTACAGCAGCAGGAGCGGGAGCAGCAGTGCCTGAGCTTCAGTCAGAGGCAGTTGACACCTTCATGCCTTCATGTGTTCGGAGGAAACAATCCCCGAAGCAAACAGGAGCATGCAGCGAAACTTTGCAGCCCGATGTTGACTTTTAGTCATGGCGTGTGAAGTTCACTCGAACAGCTCCAATGCTATATTGCGGCTTAGTTACTTACTCCAGTCCAGAGCGATCAAGCCAACTATCCTGAGGTATGTCCGGGCTGAGGCTGAGCTTTACGCAGCCAAAAACCTTCGCGAGGAGAAGGAAAAGCCGCTCTCAATGTTTAGACCTTGGGGTTATACCTATCACTATGGGCTCGTGCATTTGGGGATTTGCCGGATGAAACAGTCAGAAGTTCCGCCTGGAAGGCAACTTTGGAGTGGAAAGAAAACCTGTAACGTTTGGATTGCAATACAATCCGCATCATAATCCCAAGGGTTAACCTTTAGTTCCCCTCGGACGCTGGACAAGTAAAGCCGAGGCCTTCAATTTGCAAGCCGGACAGCACTGCATCACGTTGCCCTCGCGGCAAGCGTAGTTTAGGATGATAGAGCTCCGGCTTCGCGAAAGGTTGGTTTGTTGTGCTCATGACTCTGATGTTCATACTGCCTTTCATACTACGTTTACTTTTCAAACTTCTGAAAGGGGGCAGGAGAAGGGGAAGAGGTAGGGAAAAGGGCCAGGCACGGAGGCAGGGTGAGTGTGGGTAGCAGTGGTGACGGTGGTCGTCGTCGTCGCACAGGCTTCGTGTCTAGTGTTGGCATCATTCCAGCTTCTGTTCTTTACCATGCTTTCTTTGCTGTGGTTGTTGCGCGTACAACAAGCCTTTGGCGTCCGCATTCTTAGGAACGGCATTTAGATTCAGTAGCTGCTTTCAGGTTGTTTAGGATGTTTTATTAGGACTGAGTTGGGCGGCTTAGCTGCCTAAAACCTGACGGGACGCCGAGCCCTTAACCCTAAACCCATCTTAACCCTAAACCCTCTAAGCCCTGAGCCCTAAACCGTAAACCTCATTCCTTCTCGGAAGCCGAGGAAGATGGAAGCCATGGTGGAAGAGATGGCGAGGAGGACAGAGGACCTCGCCTTGCAAAAGCTGGCTACGGAGCATGAGGCGCCTCATGGGCTCGGGCTTTTTCCAAGGTTTCGTGAATGCCAGGGTCTAGGGGTTTAGGGCGGGGTTCCTTTAAAGGGACCCATAAGGGTTCTAAGAGGGTTGAGGGTTTAGGGTTTGGGGTTTATACCCATAGGCTCCATAGTAGTTCCTTTTTGGGGTTCGTATTTAGAGTCCTATAAGGTAATCCCAGGAAGTACTACGGAGCCTATGGGTAGCTCCCTAAACCCTAAACCGTGAATCCATGCCAGCCGCGAGCGAGTGTGCGAGTCGAAACCGTGAACCGTAGGAGGTTGATTGCGAAGCTGGCCATCTCAGGGTTGGCAGGTTTCGTCTTAGGAAGTGCTTTCAAGCAAGGGCTCATCGACGCCGCTAAGCGAGAGTCCTGAACCCTACACCCCTTTATTCAACCCCAACCTTGGCCCTTAAAACCCCCACCCGAAACCCCTAAGCTCCAAATGGGAGTCTCCAAAATTTACACCTTATTTTGGTGATCCTTATAAGAAGGAACCTACTATTTAGGATACTATATTGGGGTCCCCTAAAATCCCAAATAGCCGTAAGCCCCGAAGGTGTTGGAGTCTGAGAAGAAGGCGGAAGCGGAAGTCTGGCGCAAGAAACAGGGAGCCGGGCTCAAGGAGAGCTGCCCAGAGCCTCTCCCAAACCCCTTAATTAGGGAACAGACCTTAGATCATGTTAGGATCCCTTGTATGCCTTACGGTATATTCCTAGTTAAGGGTTTTGGAGTCTCTGGCTGTTTCTCCGGCTGAGAGGGCTGTTATCAGGTTCGGGGTTTAGGGTCAAGGGTCGAGGGGTCGAGGATTTAGGGTTTCAGGCTTTGCGATTTTGGTAGGGTTTAAGGTATCGGGGCTTATGGATTCAGCATTTAGGGTTTAAGGGTTGAGGGGTTCAGTCAGGGTTTATAGTTAGAAGTTTCGGTGTTTGAGGGTGTCGGGTGTACGGTTCCCCTGAACCCCAGACCCAACTTTTGAGAAAATCGTATTCAGGAACCCTAAACTAAAACAAGGCAGGTTTCTTAGGGTCCAGGTTTTGAGTGTCTAGATTTAGTGAGTTCTGGGTGTTCCGGATGCTTGGTTTAGAACAGTTTCCGGGACGTACAGGTGCGTGGTTAGGGTTTGGCTTGAGGCTGCTGTACATGACATGGGGCTTGAAAGCCCAGGGACATGAGCCGACAACCTGTACACCGGTACAACATCTGGTAGGCTGAGGGTTTAGGGTTTAGGGGGATGAACCCTACTGAAGCCATCTGCAGCCTGAATCTTCCTAGACCTTAAACTCTAAACCGAACAGGAGTATCTGGAGAAGACATCCACAGAGCTCGCCGCCCTGGAGGCTCAGGTCAGCTGTCTCGGGATTACTTATGGATCCGAAACCCTACTCGTTTAAGGGCTAGGCCATAAAATTAAGGGGTGATAACCTGCATATATATATATATATATGATAACCTGCATGCCGACATGTCTCCGCCCTGTCAGGAGGACGAGTTGCAAAGTGCCGCGAAATCCATACAGGCTGGATACAGATGCTGGCGGCGTGGGATCCTCGACGTGTTCATAAGTGTTGGCCGGAACTCACAAATGCCATGGGGTTTCAGACAGGCTGCGAAGTATTCGATGTCAGATTTTCAGTGAGTTCGGGGTGGGCCGTACACCCCAAGCCCGACACAACCTTGAACGCCCGTAAACCATAACTCCTAAATCCAATAAGACCTTAACCCACCCCATAGACAAGGAATCCCTATCTCTAAGTTTCACGAAAGAGACCCTTAAACGCTAAACCCCAAACCGTAGGTGAGTATCACTGGTTTCTTCTTTTGCTCCCATCCCGAGTGAAGTGGGCAATCAGCCGACTGAGTGGGGTGTGGACGTGCACAGGCTTTGAGTTCAGAGTGATTGTGCTGCCAAAAAAACCCTAACCCCTGAACCCCTCAACCCTGTAAACCCTAACCCCCCCCAATTCACTAAAGAGCCGGGCAGGCCCGGATCGAAGAGCAGCGGCGGGCCATCGAAACGGCTAGGCTCCGAAATGCCAAAGCCTCGGAGGCGCAGCTGTTAGGTTTCTTAGGGGCTTTGGGTTTTTAGGGGTTTAGGGTTTAGGGGTTTAGGGTTTAGGGGCTTTGGGTTTGTTTTGATGTTTGGGGTTGAGGGGAAGGGTTTTTGGGTGTAGGACTTGGGGGTTTAGGGTTACCTAGTAAAGCCCGTATAGTAGACTCTATCCTATCCTGGGGCCCAAGGACCTAATGATCGAATTCTCTCCCAACTACTACTGTACATTGCTGCTGCTACCTACCTAAACCCCCAAAAGTAGGTAAAATGATGGCCCAATGCCTATAAAAGGCTATTATTCTACCTACTCTTGGGGTCCAGGTACACCCATTGCAAGTGTCTAACTACTGGGTCCGTTGGTCCCGTGGAGATGGTTCGGATGGTTTTCTCCTGGACTGGGCCTAGGGTCGAATATGCAAGAGCTTCGGGATGGGACGGGAAGGCGAAAACTAAGCCACGGCAAGCTGTCATGATGTCATGGCGACTGAATGCTGAAAGCCGGAGGCAAAGGATCAGGCACCCGGAGGAATGAGGAAAATGCTGAGACGTTGTAACCGGGACGAGATGAAGGATGAGAGACGTGTCAGTGCATTTCTCTCTCCAAGTAGAACATCCTTTCCACTCCAAGTCATCTGATCCCTGACACGAAGAAACCCTACCCTTTCACCCGAAGCCCTGCATCCCCAGATCGTTGCGTGGAGGTCGCCGATCAGACATGGCAGCGCTGCAAGTCTCTGGAACTACGGTTGGAGGCGGAGCGGACAACTGTCCGAAAATGCTTTGTTTCATGTCCCTCCCAGTTATAAGCAGGGTAACTCTAGTTATAACCCATATTAGGGGACTTATAACCCCGCTCATAACTACCCATGAACCTCCAAGTACTGGGCTCTCGCTCTTCTGGCTCGTTGGAACATGAAGATTTGGAAAGCTTCACGAGGATGCCTTTCGTGGGCTTCAGAAGCCAGCAAAGCCTGTACCCAGAGATCCCAATACCCCTTAAATGAGGAATATGCCTTAAATCATAGAGGCCTGAATATCATGATTTAAGGTATATTCCTTAATAAAGGGATACTGGGATCTCTGGGTATAGGCATCGTATAGCCGCTGCTAATGTGGAGTGAAGCACATCCAGTATGCCTGCGCTGCTACTGCAACTCTAAACCCTTAGGCGACGCAGTTGGCAAGCCATCAGCAACCTGAGCCCTACGGAAAACAACCTGCCATGCGGGCTTGTCCTTTTGAAGTAAAAGGCAAACAAAAACTGCTAGAACCATTGTGGAGCCCTTGAAGCCTTTCGCTCTACACATAAAGATCTTGACCCTACCCTAAACCCCTGATAGAACCCTGGTGGAACCCTTTATGTCTCAAGCTGTAAACCGAAAGACCTAAACCCTCTCTGAAATTCTGAGTATCCTTTGTGAGTCCCTAGTGGATAAACCCGTTAACCAAGCCGAATTTGGAATCTCGTCCGGGTAGATGCTGGGCCCGCCAAAACTCTAAACTCTCAACCCTACAAAAAACATATATACATGGTCTATGTTACAGTAAGCGCCACTTTGTGGAGCCTTGCCTGCCTTGTGCCAGTGTCAGTGTCGAAATACCTTCAAACCCGAAACAGAAATTCTAAGCTCCAAACCCTACATGCCCTGTGCAACAGTAGCCCCTACAGACCCTTACACCCAAACCCTACATGCCCTGTGCTATAGTATAAAGCCCCTAAAGACCCTCACACCCGAAACAAAAACTCCGACGAAGTCCGCGTTCCGGTGATGAACCCTAATTCCTATACCCTTATAGAATCCCTATAGATCCCTCTAAAGGACCCTTAAAAGGAACCCTTATAACTACCCATGTCGAGGCGAGTGAGGCCGAAGCTGCCCGCTCTGCTCGCGAGGAGCAGGCGGCTATGGATTCCGGATCGAGGGGTGTACCTTAGAAGCTGCCCCCACCCTGTAATAGTCACTATGGGCTCTATTATATTCCTATTATACCACTATTACAGGGTGGGGGCAGCTTCTAAGGTGTACCTGGATTCCTGGATCCTGAGAAACCTACCTTTTAGGGTTCCTTAATATGATTTCCTTGTTCATAAGTCCAAGAAAAGGTAGGTTCTGTTTTGATGCTCACACTAGGTAGGTTATTCAGGGTTAAGGTAGGGTTTAGGGGTCATGGATCGCTGTGGATTCCGGAACTAGGAGTGTAGAGTTTAGGGTTTGGGAGGATCTAAGGTTTAGGGTTTAAGCATAATTCCGGCCTTCATTCATGCTTTCGGTTCCGGATTTGGGGTGTAGGGTTTAGGGATAATTCTGGCTCTTCTTCACGTCTTTGTAGGCATGGGCCTGGGTACTGTGTTACTTCTGTTTTGCTTGGTGACGGTGAGCATTGTTGTTCGTCAGCGTTGTTCGAATTGTTGTAGGGTTGGGGGTAGGTTCCAGCGGCTTCGGTTTAGTGCATTGGATTTGTTTTGAGGAGGGTCGCTCGTGTGGGTGTATCTGTGTGTGTGTGTGTGTGCATGTTTGTTGTCTGGGGGTGGGGTGAGTGTTGACGAACGACTACAATGGTAGTCTGCAGAGGGTCTTTGCAGTTTTGGGAAGCTTCGCTGTTTGGTTATGGATCCTTTAAATGCTACTGTGAACCGCCGAAAGTTGGAATTTTGATTTAGGATGATTTGTCCGGGGATTTCCCATGCTTTTCCTCAAGGGCATGAGGATAATGGTGTTCCAACTTTCTGGCTAAAACCCTAGACCCTGAACCATAAGCCCATGTAATCCGTAGATAAATGCTTAAGCCCAAGCTTCGGCGGTTTCGCATCATGAGAGGCCCTGGCTGCAGCCGTCAGCGCCGAGGAGTCCTCGGCCCAGGCTTTGGAGAGGGAGAGAAGCCACCTGCAGGCGACAGGGGGGCCGGGAGATGGAAGAGTGCACAAACGTTTCAGGTGTTTAGTCGTCGGATCCGGATGTTTGGTTCGACGGAAGGCGTGAAACCATGGCCGAACAATCCAAACACACACTGCACTACAGCGGCTGCGGCCTCAAACCCAAAATGCCGGTCACTGCTAAAAGCACTGAGCTCTCGAAAGCAACAAGACGGGAGAGTTTCATCAAATAAAAATCCCGAACATAAACACCGAAAAGTGTAGTTTCTTTGCATAGCGATCCTCAGCTACTAAGCTGTGTACCCCTCAGTGTCTGACACCTCCGACTTCACACCCTACAAAGAAGCCCCGAGAAAACCCGATAGTACTTTTACTGCAATTTTTCCACGGAAGCCCGATACCCAAATACTGCACACCCAAAACCCACAAACCCTTTCTGTCGACGGCAAAGACCGTCATCCCGAAAACCTAAAGAATCCAAACCCTAGCTGTAGCCATTATAGCTCCTGCGTAGGTCTCCATAAGGCAAACCCTGAGTCTTCCCTTGTATATTGTATAACACTGGTTATTTACGATGAAAACCTTGCGTTATTTTAGTTGCTACTGCACTGCTGACATGGAGGATATTATCGTTGGTAATTATTGCTGCTAGTACCAACATATGATTATCATAGTATTGATATGGGAGTTTCCGAAAATGGGGGACCCTAACATGGCACCCTAAACAGTAGGGTTCTTATTATAAGGACCCCCACGTACGGTACCCCTAATTCTCGGCAACTCCCATATTGCTGTCTTCTTCTGACAGGAGCGGCTGAAGCAACACTATAGAACCCTTATAGGAACCCTTGTAGATCCCTTTAAAGGAGCCCGCCTACGATATGTTTTCTGCCGACGGAAGGAGCGGCTGAAGCTCTTCAAGACCAGTGCCTTGAAGTCTTCGAAGGAGCTCGACGAGGTCGCGCCCGGGGGAGATGGGAGTTTCCCAAAATTAGGGGTACCTTATTCTGGGAGTCCTGATAATAAGGATCCTATTATTTATGGCACCATATTAGGGTTTCCCCCATGTTCAGAAACTCCCATCTAGACCGTAGGTTAGCATTAGGGTCCCTTTTTAGGGTCCGAGTAACGGTTTCTACAAGGGTACTTTTAGAGTGATTCTCTAAACGAGGGGTTTCCAATAGGGTTAGGTGATGCGCTTGATACGAAGGACTATCGGAGAGTCTTTACCAGAATTTCAATACTGGGCTTTAGAAACATGTTACAGAAGGTTTGAGGAAGGTTGGGTGTAATTATTAAGCTTTTATGATTACTATGATTAGCTACAAGATTATGACAATTATGATTAGGATTATTAGGATTATGACTATGATCTGTCTGAAAGTTCTATGATCGACGCCTCTTGGAGTTTCTCGGATGTCTGATGATTTGGGGGGGAACAGGGGCTAGGCATGGGACCCGTGGAAAAAACAGTGGAAGCAAAATCCAAAGTCCCGCGATAAGAAGCTCGAAATCCCTGAAGTCGCAAAGTCCTGAACCGCAAATGCCAAGCCTTACGCCCGAAGCCTCAAGCATGACACCGAACGACTCAAGAAGCTTCTCATGGGAGGCCACAAGGGGTTTTAGCCTATGGGGGTTTAGTAGGGGATTGGGTTCCCATAATAGGGTTCATATTAAGGAATCCCTACCCCAAGAATCTTAAACCCCCCTTTTGGCCTCGCATCAGCTTCGGTTGCAAGGAACAGGCTGAAGAGGAGTCCTTGCGGGCCCGACTGGCGGAGAAGCAGCAGGGACAGGAGCAGCGCAGCCAGGCGCCTTTTTTGGGGGCTTTAGGGGCCAAAAAGAGCCTCAGGGTTTGGCGTTTGGGCATTGCTGGGTTTGTGCTCAGGGGTACCTAGAAATAATTTCCATGCTTTCGTTGTTGTAACCCCTAAGAAACAGCTAAAGCTATAATTTTGCTGGGGGTTTAAATTCAGCATCGTGTAAGATTTCGTTGTGCGGCAGGCATCGCAATGTTACCTGTGGTTTCTTGCAAGAGTCTCCGCTTGAAGCGCTTCGGGCTGTTAGGGTTTGGGTGAGGTTTAAGTTTTTAGTTTACGTGTTAGGATAAGATGATGATCAGAAGCTTTGAGGCTACGGCTTCTTCCTTCATCTGCGGTCGGTCAGTTTCTCTGCTTAAGGCAACCGAGAACTGAGGTTGAAGTGCAGGGTGAAAGAGCTGCGCCCAGTATGCAGGGGCCTAAATGATTAGAATAGGGTTTTGGGGCCCATTAATTATGCTATAATTATAAGAAGGAACCCCCCCAAAATACTATTGGTTATTGCGGCCCCTATATTATGTAGTTTCAGGCAGTAATTGAAAAACACGCGTTCGAGTCCCACCAAGCCGCTGCAGGAGAGATGCTGCAAAAAAAAGAAGCAAGCGACGTTTGCATGAGTTGTAACATTGTAGAGATCAGATGCTCATCCGTTTGACTCAGAAGGCTTCTCTGGTTTAGCATCTTGGGTCGCCGCAAGGGTCTTCTTGGTGTGGCTCCATCCTCATTGAGGGAGGGCGGCTGTAATGCGGCTGCTTGTCAGAAGGCCCGGCCCGACACACCATTTAGGGACCCCAAGAGCAAATAAGCATAAGCATTTTACGGTGATATCCCTACCTTATTGGGCTTCCTTTTAAGGGGGTTTATGTGGGACATCCCTATCCTAATTTTTGCTTATGTGCTGTTTTGGTGCCCTAACCATGAAGACCAAGGGGGCCCGACATCCCACTCATCTCACCATCATCGTGATCATCACTCGACGTCATCAGGAGAGTATTGTCATCATCATGATAGCCAGCGTCGTCCCAAACCCCAAACTCTAAACCCTACCTGGACCCTAATAAATCGTACGTTTTAGGGTTCCTTAATATGATTTCCTTATATACGTCCTGAGAAGGGTAGGTTATTCAAGCTTAAGGTGCACCCTAAACCCTAAACCCTACACTCTCTAAACCGGAGCGGAAAAACACTCTCTAAACCCTACACCCTACCCTAAGACTCCATCTGCCCATGTAGTAGGTACATAGGCCTTCAAGGGGTCCCTATATAGGTACTCTTGAGGCCTAAGTACCTACTATATGGGTACATGGAGCCTCTGGGCTAAAGACACTCTACACCCTAAACCCTAAACCCTAAACCCTAAACCCTAAACCTTAAACCCTAAACCCTAAACCGTAGAGCCGAGCCCTCGCACTCCGGAAGGCGATGCAGCACTGGTTTCAGTCAGAGGAGCATACGCTTGAGGTGGGAATCGGTGCTACTCGGAGGTTCGTGGGTAGTTATAAGGGTTCCTTTAAGGGTCCCTTGAAAGGGATCTATACGGATTCTATAAGGGTATAGGGCTTCCTTGTTCAGAGAACAGGTGTGACACATCGAGGCGGGATTCACACAAGCCTGTGCAAAAAGGGTCCACGTGGAGGTTCATGGGTAGCTATAAGTGGTGTTATAAGTCTCCTAGTATGGGTTGTAACTATAGTTACCCTGCTTATAACCCCACTTCTTACTACAAATGAACCACCAAGTACTCCACGTCAGACAGATTGCTGTAGTTTAGGCCTTGAGGTTTAGGGTTTGGGGTTTGATAGAGTCCGTTTGAGCAGCCGTCAGCCCCGAAAACACGACAATCTGGATCGCAAGCTTTGTACTCGCAGGTGGCTCAGCGTCAGCTAGACTTCGACGAGAAGAACATGAGCCGGGGCCCTTGCAATTGAGGATGAGATCAAGGAAGTAGGCTCAAAAGCGGGTCGACTGTCCAGGATGTTGCGCAGGATTCGTTTTTCGTTTCTGTTACATTGCAGACCGACGGGCTCATGCAAGCATGTTACCCTTACTGTGAGTGGTCCAATAACAAGGAGTTTTAACCCGACGGAAGGTACTGTGCCTCTTCCGAGAACCCACGAAGTTACGAAGCAGGCTCTTCGCTCAAGGATGAAGGGCCTGAACCCCTAAACCCTACACCCTAAAAGGCCGACAGACCTGACCTTGAAAATGTCAGGCCACCAGCTCAGCTCAGAAGGGTTTGGGGTATTATATCGAAGCCAAAAAGCAAAACCCTAAAAGCACAGGTAAGCCCCAATGCCACATCCTAGGTCACCAGATACAGCTCCTACGGAACCAGGAGCAACGCCAACGACAACAGCTGAGGGCCCCTTGCCTTTCCGGAGGGACAAAAGCCTGATGCAGCAGTAGTTGTCGATTTCTATTAGGGGTTGGAGCTGTGGTTTTAGGATGAAGCGCTTTACTGGATTTTGCTGGTCTTATGTAGCCGGTTCTTATAGTAAGGGCTTTCGGCGGCGTTCCGGCTTTTTTTGTGAGAGTGTTAAGAGTTTTGAGGCTAATCAGTGGCACTCCTTCGCGTTAACTGTTGCTGTACGGAGAGCTCGACCCTGCAACCTTCAGCCCTGTGTAAACTGGCCTAAACCGCCCAACCCTGAATTCCTACTCCCCCATCCCAATCCCCCAGAGCCGTAAATTGTATACCCTGTCACTTCTAAACCCTGAACTTTATTGAAGATCTGCCGAGAGTTTTAGGGAGCCGGCTGCATCACAGAAGCCTGAGGAATTGAAGACACTATTCCTTAGGGTACCTTGTAGACGTATATACAGTTATATACATAAACAAAGTCTATATCGAAAGAGATTTTAATATACCTCCCCACACGCCCCTTCTCCAAAAATAAACAGCAAAACCTCGTTGCAGAACCCTTACAGTAACCCTGTAAGAAGCCCTTAAAGGGACCCTGTTATAATTCTTCGGTCCCTTTTATTATAGTAGAAGCCCAAAAGTTGGAAATCCCATAGCAAGTCCTTAAGAGTCATGTATCGGGAATCCCAGCACTACTTGTCCTTAATCCGGTTTCCAACATTTTGGGATTTACTATACTTGGAGGTTCATGGGTAGTTATAAGTGGGGTTACAATTACAGTTACCCTAAACCCTAAACCCTATTTGTCCTTAATCCGGTTTCCAACTTTCTGGCTTCTACTATGCTCAGGACCAGGAATCTCGCGAGAAGACCAAGATTCTGCAGGAGATGGAGCCTTGAAAGCAGTGCAGGAGATAGTCTTTGGGTACATTCATAGTACAGATGTATTAGGACCTTAATAGTAGCCCTATGATAGACTGTTACTGTATGGGGGCCGTACCCAAGAGACAGTATAGGAGGGGCCTTAAGAAATTTATTCGGTTCGCTTAAATAACTTCGGGGTTTTGGAAGATCTCTAGGAGGGACATGCAAGAGGTCCCAGCTTCGGGGCCTTGTAATTGGAATAGGGTTTCGGGTATACTATACTACTAGAGTACAGTGGGACACGAAAGGGTATACTATTAGACATGTTTCAGACTTCTATATGCAGGTCTAGTTTGAGGTTCTAAGATTGTCCGAGGTCGAGGCCTTCGTGGTTTCGAGTTAGCCAACGAGGTGAGGATTTGGGGTTTAGCAATGGCTTGGTAAGGGTTTGGGTTTCAGGGATTGTTGTGCTCCAAAGGGGTGTTTGTGTCTGCGCACGTGGCACAATCCCAGGGCTTTGTTGCATGAGCTGAGGCAAGTAGGCTTCAGGTCAGCTTGCTTCGACAAGGATCCTTGGAATTGGGACCCCACTGCCTAATCATAAATGTTGCCGGGCTGCTTTTGACGTGAGTTCGAGGCACGTCTTCTCAAAACGGCAACATTGCGCCCTCCAGCACTACTGCAGCCTCTTTTAGGCCACGATGAAGCAGATCACAAGACTATGGTCAGAGGTCTGACGGCCCGTAGTACAGAATCTAGAATGCCTAGAAATGCCTGGACCGTGTGTTACGACCGCAATCCAAACTCAAGGAAGTGGAGATGGAAGCCGACAAGCGAAGGCGCAACGTAACTACTTTGTTAGTTCTTGATTTTGTACAAGGGGTGCATCGTCAGGAAAAGAAGTCGGGCAATGAACTCTCCTAAACCCAAACCCCAAACCCCTAAACCCTAAACCGAAACCCTAACTCTGAAACCCAAAAGCCCCACACCCTCAACCCTGGGATCCTCCAGCCTAAAGCTGTTGAGCCGTGAGTCATGCGACCTCGGGCCGGGTCGGGGTTAAAAGGGTGGTTGTCAAAATTATGGTCCCTTTTTTAGGTAGTATTATTAGGAAGACCCCTTCAAGGGTACCCCTTCTGAACCCTACTTCTGGCTCCCTTAAAAGGGGCCTTATTGAGAGGGTCTATATCCGCAAGGGTCCCTCTAATCTAATCCTAACTCCTTTTTTGGGTCCCTCATATACTACGGCACGTATTATTTAGGATACCCAAAAAGGGGCCCTAACTTTGACAACCACCCATATAGCCCGCCTGAAACGATTGTGTGTTCGGCGTCGAAGGTCTGCGAAGCCCCGAACCCTCGATCCGATAATCCTAAATCCTCTAATCCAAAACCCCCAAAACCCTAGCATCCTAAACCCGAAACCCAATAAACGCCCTAAGCCTTAAACCCTAAGCCCTGCTCCTGAACTTCCTGATTTTGGGAAATCCAGCAATCATTGTCGCGATCCTGCCCCGATGTTTGACGGTTTGAGCTCTTGTAGTACACCCCAAAAAGTTGGAAAGCGGATGAAGGTCAAATAGTGCTGGGATTCCCTATACATTACTCTGAGGATTGAGGCTATTTGGTTCCCAATTTTTGGGCTTCTACTGCAGGCTCTTAAGCCCGGTGCGTTCATTCCCTCGGCTCGCCTGTGTTTTCGCGGGAGGCAGGAGTTGGAGGCTCAGCAGATGCAGCAGCGCATCTTCCTCCGGCAGGCACTGGGAACCTGTGAGTTACTGCAGCGACCTCAATAATTTACAAGTCTTTGCCAAAGGGTTTGAGGGTCTAGGGTGTGGTCAAGAGTCAGGGCATTCTTGGAAGTGTTTCACCTCATCCGACTAAGCCCCAATAACCTCCCCTGGCTTGTCCGAGTCTGAGCGCCGAAACCCTAAACCGCCTAAACCTTGACTAGGTTCCTGAGTAGTACGCTTTTGCCTTTGTGTAGTTTAGGATCCCTTTATTAAGACCCACGAGTAAGAAAAGGGATAGCCTTATTAGAAAGGGGCAACTCAGGAACCCAGTTCAACCCAAGCCCTAAACCAACCCCAAGACCCCCTTAGTGCTTTTGAAATCCCTACAGTAAAACCCTGAACCCTAAAATCCTTCACCCTTCAGGATTCAGCCTTAAACCCGAAACCCTAAGCGCCCTAAACCCCGAGCTTCCTGGTGCTTTCAGGGGCAGCTGGAGCATGAGCTCCAGCGCTTGCAAGAGCAACTCGTCCAGGCTTCCGACATGTCTGGGCTTTAGGCAAATGCAGGATTATAGTATCTCTCTCTCTCTGCCGTTGCATCCAGAAGGACTATAGTATATTATTGCATAGTAGAGATCATTACATATAGAGAGATTATGTTATAGTATATTATGGTATATCATATTAACTGTACTGTAGTAGGTCATATTAGGTTGCCGTAGATTATAGTTATGTTTTCAACTGGGAAAATAGGGCGATTTATGGGTTTGTAGGGCCACAGGGTTTCATTCTCAGGGTTGACTTGGGTTAACGTCTTGAGGCCTTAGCTTTCTATCTTTCAAGCCTCCAAAACTGACAGTTTAGAACAGGAGGTTTGGAGAGGGTCGCATGTCAGACTCGACAAGGGTTACAGTAGTGGCATTCAATGGCCTGAAGCCACAACCTCTCAAGCCCGCCTATAGTCGGAAATGAGTTTTATGATTAGACCTCGTCATTGGCCGAATCGCTCTGTTGCTGTCCCGCTCAACAGAGATTCGTGTAGGCACCTGGTAACAGAATCCAAGTCCTAAGCCCCAGTCCAAAGCACCAATTCTTGTCACGGGACGAAGGATGCGCGTGTCGCAGTCTCAAGGTACGGCCTGAGCCCTAAACCTTAGAAGCTGCCCCCACCCTGTAATAGTGGTATAATAGGAATATAATAGGGCCCTAATATAATATTAATATAATCCTTATGGTCACTATTAGTGTTGACCTGCTTTTTATGATCACCCCCTCCAGTATAAAACCCCACCCCCGGAACTCAATTAGAAACCCCCCCTCAATTACAAAACCTGCCGGCCCAAATCCCCGAAACTAGATACTTCTTGTTCTATATTATTATATATTAATTAAAAGAGAGAGAGAGAGAGAGAGAGAGAGAGAGAGAGAGAGAGAGAGAGAGAGAGAGAGAGAAAGGGGGAGAAACTGCAGCTACTACGAGAGCTTGAGGTCTGCAGAGAGAGAGAAACTGCAGCTACTACGAGAGCTTGGGGCCTGCAGAGAGAGAGAAACTGCAGCTACTAGGACTGCTTGAGGTCTGCAGAGAGAGAGAAACTGCAGCTACTACGACTGCTTGAGGTCTGCAGAAAGAGAGAAACTGCAGCTACTCAGATTTAGAAGGCCTCAGAAACCATGCTTTCCTTAATAAAATTCCTTTATTCCCGGAGCCAAAAATCAATCCATCCTGATGGAGTACTAACAAAGGCCGTTCTTCGCAATTATAAACCCCACGCCGGGGAGGGCCTTTTTGCTTTAGAAGCCAAGCCCTTCATTGGGAAAGCTTTAGCTTCCAAAGCCACGGGACCCCGAAACCGCAGATTTAGAGGGCCTCCGAAACCATGCATTCCTTAATAAAGTTCCTTATTCCCGGAGCCAAAAATCAATCCATCCTGATGGAGTACTAACAAAGGCCGTTCTTCGCAAGTAAAAACACCCCCTCAATTATAAACTCCCGCCGGAGAGGGCCTTTTGGTGGTGCCTTTAAAGGCCTTGAAAAGGACAGCAAGCTTTACAGGCCAAGCCCTTCATTGGGAAAGTTCTGGATTCAAAAGAAAAGCAAGCTGTGGGAGCAGAGTCGTTGATTGGAATAACCTACCTTTAGCAGCCATGCCCTTGCTTGCGAAAGCTTCGGCTTTCAAAGGAGGAGGGAGAGGACAGCAGGATCATTGTTCATTGCTGGTACTTTACCAAACGTGCCTTGTCCGCCGGAAGAGCTGGACTCAGAGGCTGTGCTACTACTGTACTGCTACTGTACTATACTACTGTACTACTGTACTATTGTGATACTATACTACTGTACTACGACGACCGACGCCCCCCTCAATAGTCAATCCCCCCACCCCGGGCGCCAAATCAATCAAGGGGGGGGGGGGTTATTAACTGGAGGTTGACATTACAGGGTGGGGGCAGCTTCTAACCTAAACCCTACATCGGCCTGGGTGCAGAGGACGAGCAACTGGAGCATCAGACGGGGGACGCAGTGGCTCGCGCGGAGAGGCGGAGCTTTGCAGAAACCATGCGACGTTCGGTTCATGCTTTAGAGTTGGATTTTGGAGTTTAGGGTAGGGCTTTCTGTTTTAAGGTTTATGCAGCTTTCAAGTTGGAGATGTGCGGTTGCACCCTCAGGAATCAAGCTGTGCAAAACCCGTTCGAAATTGCTCCTCTAAGGGTCGCCGTGACCAACCCACTTTACAGTCATACCCTACCTGTTTGTTGCGGGGATCCTCCTGTTCTAGATAGCAGATCCCAGCCGTAAAGCTAAGTACCCGAAACAACGGGGCAGGATACAACCCTCTCGGTGTGGTTCTCGTCAGGCATTTGCGGCAGCAGCAGCACCAGTCTGAGTTGGTGAAGCAGGAGGAGAGCCAGCAATCGCAAGACGTGTTGGAGCAGGAGCGGACCTGTGCCTGTGGGGTCTAGGCTTGGGTGTGTAATTAGGGTTTGCATCTTTAAACCCTTAAATAAGTTAGCCCTTAGCCTGAACCATCCTGAACCCTCGAATCTATTGCTGATGTGCAGCGGAGGAGGCTTTGTCGCCTTATCTCTCGCGGCCACGTGCAGATCGGTGCAATAGCGCTAACCACGATGATTATGTTCCTTTCTTCTAGGCTTCGGGTTGCCTACAAAACAGGGCCGTGGAAACGCCTCTTGGGTATCCTGGGCTTTGGAGTACCATGTACCATGCTGTATTATTTTCTTTTGGACCTGTTCCCTATAGGAAATTGTGAAATGAACGTGTATAACAGTTTCTCCCTGGTTGCTTCAAAACACAGTATCCTGAGGGGGCTGAATCTCCGACTCTGAGTTCGCTTGCTCTGTTTTTTGAGGGGGAGGTTGCTCGAAACGCGGGGTTGACAGTAGAGTTAGGATTCAGCGTTTTGGGGTTTGAGTTGTTCTTTTCATGAAACCTATACATAGGACCCTTGAAGTGTCCCGGATACCGACAGAAAGTCATGTTCCCAAAGGGTCCAAGTATCATTATGGTATATACTTAGACCCCCGAAATACCCTATAAGTATATACTACAATGATACTTGGACCCTTTGGGTTTTGTTGCTGGCGAGGAGAAGCTTCTGCAAGCTCAGCGGCGCCGGCTGCAGGAGCTTTGAGTTTCAACAAATTCGGGTTGGGTCCTGCTCAGGGGTTGTATTTGGGAGTCGCCGAAACGTGGGGTGCCCTATTTTGGGGTTCCTGTCAATAAGGATGCTACTATTTAGGGTGCTATATTAGGGTGCACTATTTTGGGAAACTCCTAGTTAAAACAATAGTAAGAGCAGCATCGAAGAGTAGTACTTGGAGCACATTGTGACAGCATGACTCGTTTGAGCGGGTTAACCTATTGTAGTTGTGGCTGGCGTACTAAGGCGACATGGCTTTTTCTTGAGACAATGTGTTGTTCAGCTACCCTACTCCCTAAAGAGGCGCAAGCCAGAACTCAGCGCGTTGTCTTTGTCGCACTCCGTTTTGCGCACTTGTTGCAAGATCGAGCGGTGGAGTATAAGGGCTCGCAAAGACCAGGTTTGGAACTGCAAGGCTTTGTGTTGCGCCTGCTTGTGTACATGGCATATGGAAGAGATTGCTGCGGCATAGGTTAGGTACGGCCCCCACTCAGTAATAGTTGACTAATATTCATAATACAGATATAGTAGGACCTTAATAGTAGCCCTATTATATGGAGGCCGTAGCTAAGGCATAGGAGTTTCGGAAATTAAGTGGGCCTTCGTTTCGATCCACACCAACGATGTCCTCATCATACGTAGCCCGGCTTACATCACCCTAAACCCCTAAACCCAAAACCCTAGGGCCTAAACTCTGAAGCCTAAACCCTACACCCGAAGCCCTAAACCCTCAACCCCTAAACCCCTAAAGCCCTAATCCAAGTGAGTATGAGCGCTTGCCATTCGACGTACGAAGCCTTGGCCGGTGGGTTCCGGGTGGAAGCCTGAGGGGACGAAGCTGGTGGAAGCTGGTGCCGGGGGGTTTAGGGCTTTGGGGCTTAGGGCTTAGGCTTTAGGGCTTATTGCAAAAAAAAGGTCCCTAAACCCTAAACCCAGTGTCAAGCCTATGCCTAAATCCGAAAAAATGGTGTAATGTGATCGTTAAGTTCTCGAGGCAGAGAGACGGTGGATGACCTGAAGAGGCTCAGCCTCAAAGACTGTAATCCGCATGGGTGGTTGTCAATATTTAGGGTCCCTTGCTGAGTACCCTAAATATTAGGTGCCGTAGTATATTAGGGACCCAAAAAGGGACCATAATTTTGACAACCACCCACATGATCCTAGCTGACTACCCAGATCCCGAAGCCCCACACCCTGTTCAGATGTTCAGAAGGTCATGCAGGTGGTAGGGTTTGGTAGGTAGGGTTGTACTTGTGTTTGGACATGTCGTTAAGCCTGGCCCGCCACATGCAAGTGTGGGAGTCAAGATCAAAATCTGAAATCCGAAATGTAACTGCAGGCATTGGGCCCCAAACCCTACAATGCCCAAAACCCTAAGATCCAAAACCCTAAATGCGAACCCCGGTAGGAACCCCCACTGAAGGAACCGCTACAGGAACCCTGAAACGAGCCCCTAAGAAACCGTTCAAAAAGAACTGAGGGCCCCTTTAAAGGGATCTACATGGAGGTTCATGGCTACTTATATGTGGGGCTATATGCAGGGTAGCTATAGTTATAACCCATATTAGGGGACTTATTACTCCATTTATAAGTACCCATGAACCTCCAAGCAGGCCCTAAACCCTTACCCTTATAGATTTCCTATAGATCCCTTTAAAGGTACTCTTAAAGGAGCCCTTATCGTAAGTTCCCAGGAGCTGACGGACCGTTTGAGGGACCTTCAGCTCCAGCAGAAGATGCTGGCCGACAAGGAGGACTCAGTCGGGGGTTTCCAAGATGGGTGGCTGTCAAAATTATGGTCTTTTTTTTGGGTACCCTACATAATAGGTGCCCTACTATAGTAGGGACCCAAACAGGGACCACAATTTGACAACCACCCAGATATTTTTTAGGGACCTAGGGATCCTTTAAGGGATCTAGAGGGTATATATAGGGTTTAGGGGATTCTAAGATCCTTGAATTAACGAAGATATACCTTAAATCATTTTAGGGATCCTACTACTATAATAATTTAAGGTATATTCCATAATTAAGGGATATTGGAGTCTCTGGGTTGCGGGGATCAGGATTTAGGGTTTAGAGTTCAGGGTTCCTGAGGTCGTACATGTAGCTTGGAAGAGCCAGCGGGACCTGTGTTTTTGACAGCAACCTGCATTACCATAAGCGCAGAAGTTTTTTAGACAGGGTTTAGGGTTAGACCTAAAATTCTTCCCCCATCGCAACGTCATGGAGTTTGTAAGATACCCAGAGATCCCAATAGGCCTTAATTAAGGAATATACCTTAAATTAGAGAGGTCTTAATCTTATGATTTAAGGTATATTCCTTAATTAAGGGGTATTGGGTTCTCTGGATAGGGCTTATGCATGAAGCGCGAGCCGCCTTCACGGCACGGTGTGCGCATCTGCGGGCAGATGGGCGTGTGACAGCATGTGCAGAGCGATGATGAAAGACATGATCCACCATCCCTCAATCCCAAACGCCCAGCCCTGAGCCCTATAAACTCCAACCGTCCCCCAAGTTTACAGCCCAAGCCCTAAAATCCCCAAAACCGCAAAAAGCCGTGAACCCTGAGAGGATCAGATGCGCACGGATCAGCTGGAGAGGCAAGGAGAGGCAAGAATCCGTGACGATATTTCTGGTTCAGGGTTTAGGATTACTAAAAAGGATTACTATATGTAAGGGTTTAGGGGTACTGAAAAGGGTTAATTGCTATATGTAAGGGTTTAGGGTTAATTACCAAAAGAAGGATTACTGTGTTTAAGAGTTCAGGTGTAAAAGGGCTTATTCGGGGTTTATGAAACATCGCTAACAACTAAGACATTGTAGACACATATGTAGGCATGGGTCTTCTTCTGTACGTACATGCGCACACGGCGTACACACACACACACATGCGTTCGGTGTTATCTCAAGTTCGTTTTTTATACAAGGCCAAATCTAGAATTCGATCATAAGCATGATGCGGCCGAAGTAGCTGATAACCGTTGGCACAGGTTAGTCATTCGACGCCCTGTTTTCCGACAGGGCGTATGAGTGCGTCGTTTGGTTGTTCATTTAACTCTTGCACAGTGAACTCTGTGCCATAAGCTCAAGCAGCGCAAGTTTCGAGCAGGTGTTGAAGCGCCGACAGGATCAGCAGCTCCGACAGTGCCAGCTGCTGTTTTGCAGGTATTTCATCCAGTCAGTTTCAGAGCCTTAGCACTGACCCGATTCCGCATCACTGCATGTGCCCTCTGCTGATATTGTTTCGCAGCTCCTGCAACTCCAGACCCGAAGCACCCCGGCCAAACTTCTCAGGAGGTTTCGGGCTCAGGCATGTTTAGCACACGAGTGGGTCCTTCGTGCCCCTAACTACAAGCTGATCCGGCTCAGTGCTGGAGTGTACCCCGATCTTACGTACGGAGCTAGCGCAAGGAAGTACAGATCAGCGAGATAGAACTTCGGCGTGGTGGGGGTGGTGGGGGTGGTGGGGGTGGTGGGGGGTGGGGGTGGTGAGCTTAATTGCTTCACGAATATCGTAAATGGCCGGGCGATGCTTGACTAGAATAGGGCTGTGGGGTATAGTATACTATGGGCATACTAACTACAATTAGAATAAGGACATCGAAGGAATATTATCGTGGTAGTGGTTAAGGCGTCCGTCCCACAGGCACACCACGCAAAGCTGCTTCAGGGCATTGAAGCCGTAAGTACATTGGTACACAAGGGGAACTGAGTAGCAATGATGATACACATTACCGTACGCTTTAGTGTTTAGGGCTTCTTCTTGCAATCCGATCCGGTGCCCCTGCAGTACGTGCGGACGGCATGATAAGAATGCAACTTGCTTGGTCTAAAGTAGAAGAGGCAACGCTTCGCTGGAGCTCATTCTTCAACCCTGTTTTGGATGTCCAGTTCGAGTTGGAACCAACTTCGATGGGCAGAACCCTAAAGTCTCTACAGCCATGTGGCCTAATGGGCCTAGTGACTGTTGGAGACTTTCTTGCCTTATGTGTACTGATGTTCAAATCGCCGAAGCTCCACACTTATGTTGTTCACCTTCAAGGAGCAAACACTAGTACGATTTAGGCTTCAGGTTTGAGACTCAGGGTTCGTGGTTCAGGGTTTAGGGTTTAGGAGTTTAGGGTTTCAGTTCAAACTGTGGGCGAAGTGGAAAGCCTGTTGCAAAAGGGTTTCAGCTCAGAGATTGTGCTGTAGATTGCACATCGGTCGCGCATAACTTGTGATGTGTCTCGCCCCCACTTCCCCGAGCCCCGTGGCTTAGCGATGCAACTGGCTGTTTCTCACGATTCTCCCACGTGCAGCACTGGAAACAGCTTCGGCAAAAGAAGCGGTTCAAGCTAGTCAGATGCGCCGCTAGGGGCGTAGGGCGGCCCTTAACAATCCTTAACATCCCAGGTTACAGTTGCAAGAGATGCGAAGTCAACAGGAGCAGTGCTGGGCCCAGCATGACGTTTGTATTGAAGGAGTATTTCAGGCTTCCCCAATGCAGGCCCTTAAATCCTGAACCCTGAAATTCTAAATCCCTGGGATATTGACGGATATTGGCTCAGACCCGGAAACTGCCTGAATGCAAGGTTGCAGAGTGCTGGCTTTGGGGAATCAAGCCCGAACCGATCCGACTGCACCTCAGAATTTCAACGAGGGCGAGAACCATAGGGCTCCTTGTCAAGAGTTTCTGAGGAAAGCGCCCTCGTGACACCAAAACAAGCCGCACAGCCAGCCCATTTCTTCTGAAGCGACGCTACGCGAAGGGCTCTGTCATCCTGTGAAGTTACCTAGAGGCTTCATAGTAGTTCCTATTTTGGGGTTCATATTTAGAAGCCTATAAGGTAAACCCAAAAAGGAACTACTATGGAGCCTATGGGTACCGCCTATAAGATCTTCTCGATGTAAATCGCTATTCATTATAGCGCTGTACAACACGGGGCCTTGAACAATGTATCTCCAAGACTCTAGACCCTTCTCTACTTGCTTTGTGCCCCGACCGAAAGGCCCACACAAACTTTCCCACCGGAAGTCCTTGCACGCCATAGGCCCTAAACCATCCTCACCCCGCAAACGCTGCAAACCCTGCAGCACACTGCTAAAGCCCACACCCTACACCGACCCGGAAGCTTGAACCCTAAAGCCCCCAAACCTAACCCCACATCCGAAACCAGTTCCCCCCTGTAGTAAGATACAGCCGTCACATGTTGAAGGACCATACAAAGCCCCAAACTTTACAAGGTCTTATGACCATTTTCGCAAGATAGAGGATTGTAGGTATTCGAAAAGCATACAAAGCCCCTAAGCCTTACAAGGTCTTAGGACCGTTCTAGCAAGATAGAGTGTATTGTAGGTATTGAAAAACTATACAAAGCCCCGAAGCCTTGCCCTGGGAATCAAAGTAGCCCGAAAGCCTTACAGTATATAGTATGCTCTTTGGGCCCAAAACCCTCTATATATGAGTCCTTAGATCCCTAAGCCCTATAGATCCCTTTAAAGGAACCCTATATGAGTTCGTAGATCCCTAAGCCTTGCAAGGTCTGATGATCATTTCCGGTCATAGCTCTAAACCCTAAACTAAAACCCTAAACCCTAAACCGCGACAAGGCTGACCTTAACTGCGAGGGGGAAAAAGGCGTAAACAAAAAAACGCGACAAGGTCTGATGATCATTTCCGGTCAAAGCTCGAGCGCGTGCAGAAAGACTTGGAGCTCTGGGCGCAGCGGGTGAAGGCCATCCTTCGGCCCGGAAGCAAAGGGGTGATTATAGTATACCTTACAGCCTAAACCCTAAACAATAATTTATAATATGGGGGCCTTCCTGAATCCTGAATAGCCTACCTGTTTAGGGTTCCTTCTTATGATTTCCTTATATAAGTCCTTAAAAAGGTAGGTTTTTCCGGCTTAAGGTTTACAAGTAGTGAAAATCTAGATCTTTACCTCAAGCTCTAGAGGCCCCGGAAGCAACGGGGTGTTTGTAGTATAGGGGCCTTAATCCCCTAAACTCTAAACACTAAACACTATTACCGACACTCAAGGTTGCTTTGGGTGCTTATAGTATAACTTGGTAGCTGAGTGGATACACTTTGCACTTTTTGGGATAATACCACCCACTAGGAAACTGAAAGTGTGCAGCTTGGGGGGGCGCTTATGAACTCAGCAACTGGGTATAGGGGCCCTGATAATTACCGATACTCTAGATCTTGACCTCAAGACCAAAGAGGCGCTGGTCATGTGATCCATACAGCCCTAAGGCTCTAAGGACTGATACATACATATATATATATAGTTTTATATTATATGGTTTTTGGGCCTAAAGACCATTTTGTATAAGGCTTTTGTGCCATTTTGAGCCTTAGGGTAAGGGCTATTCAAATCTCGGTAGTTTGCTTGGCACGACCTCAAGCACTTAAGTATGAGCACGATGGTATAATGCGAATCCTTATCGTGGTCATGCAGGATTTCACCCATCAGATTTATTTGCATGAGGCTGTCCTGCAAGCCATCCGGCAAAATGCTTCAGCTAATCTTAACTGTAGCTATACTGCTCCACATTGCTTATGCGCCCTGCTTATGTCTGCCGCTGAACCCGTTTGACAGTTGAACCCAGGACTCTGACCTCATAAGTGGGACCTGTTCTTGAACCCTACATTTCTTTAAGCCCACTAAAACCTGCTTCTGCTGAAAAACTCATGAAGCCCCCGTAGAAGACTCTAAGATGCTACAAATCGCTTGTCTCGATTTTCTCTGGTGCACTCCAACGCAAACAGCCTCGATCTTGTCCATCAGCAGTATTCCTAGCACTGCTACTACCAAAGCAGAGCCGCCATTCTTTTCTTTTCCGCGCAGAACCATGGTTCCTGCAGCCTTAACTAAGCCAGCCACACACACAGTCATGAGGATGATCACCAGTCTTGCTTGTAATCGTTCTGTCGGTTGATCTTCGTTGGACTGCGAGAACTGCTTATGTTGGTTTTGCTGTTTACTTCTTCATATCAGACTGCGGCGTAACGCCCGCGACTTCTTCTAGAAGGCAATATGTTTTATGGTTCCAAATTTCAACCCTGAACAATTGTTGTTTTATTCATACAAACTTCTTATCACCCTAAACCTTTAAACTCCTAACCCCGAAACCCTGAACCACGCTACACCCTTGAACCTCTAGACCCTGAGCCCTATGCTTCTATATTCTAATATGTCAAAATTAGGGTCCCTGTTTGGGTACCCTAAAATTAGGTGCCGTATTATATTAGGGGCCCAAAAAAGGGACCATAATTTTGACGGCCACCCATCATGCTTCCGCAGCTTGAAAAAACGGGCGGCAGGAGTTGGAAGATCAGCTGCGGCGAGCCTTTGAGCTCGAGGCCGCTAGCGGCAAGGAGGCCACCGGGATTTTTGGTGGTTTCTGGGTCGGGGTTCAGGGATGTAGGGTGTGGGATTCAGGGTTTGAGTGCCTGTGAGAGAGATTTGTGAACTGAAAAGTGGCACAGGCTATGATCAAAGCAGAACACACGGCACACGTCTCGATTTGTGCGGGCTGCGACAGAAGTCGGCAATGCTGTCTCTACCCTCGCGTGCTTAGCGGTTTACAGCCCAAATTTCTGCAGCATAGCATAAGATCAGTTCTGACTCATGCAAAAGCTGCTCATTTCGCATACCGAAAGAAACAAAAACAACAAACCCACCAACCTACCCCAACGCCTCCAAATATAAATGCCTCCTCAGTGTAGTTACTAAGTGAGGCCCGGCTAAAGCCCATGATACGGGAGATACTCGCATCAAGGACTCAAGCCCAAGACATCTGGCATATTTCGCCACAACTTGTTTGAAATGATACGGGACTCTCGACCACATCCATTCTCGTCTGTACGGGAGAACCAAACGCGGAAGAGAGAAAATCCCAGGAGAAGGGGAGCTGGGTTTGCATCGACGTTCCTCGAGGATCGGTTTCAAGTCAATACCAGAAGACGCCCTCAAAGACGAACAAAACTTCAATACTGCGGCATGCGATTCATGCGGATTGCTGAAACGCCTGGAAAATCTTTTGACCATCCCAACTGGCCAAGCCAAATGAACTGCAGGAGCATGATATGAGCTACAAAGAAGTGGACGCCATTGGCTCGAAGGTTTCACATAAAGCGAATGGTCCAGGCGACCAGTCACCCGCCATTTAGGGCCCTTGAACAAAGTCACGTCCAGCATGTCAGCAGACTCATAGGAAATACTTTCAAAGTCAATGCCGTAGACTCCCGCTTTGGCTTTAAACCTTTCCACGAACTGAAGATGTAACTCACGAGGTGAATCCACAATATAGGCAATAGGCCTGGATGCAAAAACGTTAGGGGCAAAGGGAGGTAGGGTTTCGGGTTTCGGAGGGGACGGGGTAGGGGTTTAGAGCGTATTCCTTTATGCTTGCTCTTTGATAGGGGCCGGTTGTGGCGGTTCCTAGGCGTGAGAACACGGAGCATATTGGTATCTAGCTCGCATAGGTCACTGTTTCTGGCACAGGGCCACAATTTCCCGACACCAGTCCAACACCGGCCAAAATTCGAAAGTAACACGTGCTAGCAGTGATTAGGAGACTGCTCAAGCGGCTCTGCTGTTACTTTGGAAATTCGATCCCTTTCCACGCTAGTTACTTAAGCCAGAAGCAGACCAGAATCCTCTGGGTTGTCCTTTGGGATCTTTTTAAACTTCCCCTACTATTTCTGTAGAGAGCCATAATAGTAAATAATCTTCAAGGGGCTTAGAGGACAACTCAGTCCTCAAAATCCCGAGCCTTCGAGTCTGAAGCAATAACCAAGGGTTTAGGGTTTAGGGTTAAGGGTTTAGGGTAGCAGACCTTGTTGAGGGTGCTGCATTCACTACATCCCTGTGCGGTAGGGTCTACCTGCACTCCAAAGATTCGACCTTGATTGTGGTGTTGCTTTGCTTCAACTCCTTCTTTAACACCTCAATTGAAAGGTAATTAGGTCATTTGGGGTTCAGGTTGGGCTTAGGATTTACGGCTTCGGGTTCAGGGATTCATGGTTCTGCTTCTTGATGAGTGCCTGATTCCCAACGCCCCGACCAAAAGCCCACCAAAGCCCTGAAACGCGGCCAAAGTTGTCGTGTTGACAGAAATGCGTAAGAGATTCACTCGGTGGGGCAATTCGTTGTTGTCGGCGCGATCTGTAGCCGTGGTTTGCCGAATTTTGCCGAGCTGGGTTTGTATATACAGCGGGCACAGCAGCCCATGTGGCTAGTCTTGTTGGCCTTGGACCCACGACACAACTCCGCATAAAGCCTGGAATTCGTAAACTTAGTAGTACGTAGACTAGTTAGTAGGTGACCTTAAGCCTGTTTCGGGTCTTCTACCCCCTATAGAACCTGAAAGGTTAACCCGGAGCTCCTATTGGCTACTGGACTACTGGACAAGAAAGTAATAAGCTGAAGCCCGAAACACCGAGATCCCCGAACTTTTTCGTCCCAGAGGCTCCAGACCTAATCAATTAAGGAATATTCTTTAAATCATAATGATAGGAATCCTAATGCAGACCTCATCAATTATGGAATACACTTTAAGTCATAATACTAGAAATCCTAATAAGATCCATGGTCTATTCCCTAAAGTAGAGGGTTTTTGCACCGAAGGACCAGCTTCAGCTGCGCCTGGCAGAGCGAAAATCAGAGGACACGCGCTCAAGTCCCGTATTCCTACCCCTTGATATCCTAACGTAGGAACCTGATAAAGAAACCTTGGGCCTTTATTGGGATTCCTTATATGAATCTTACTATTTTGGGGTGAATTATAGGCCCAGGGTTTCTGAATCAGGTTCCGACATTACCTGCTCCTAAGCCCTGAGCCCTCGGCGTTATGGCTGCTGCAGCATTTTGTGCACGGCCCCAGAGGTCGCAAGTTCATGCCGGCTTGGTCGATAGATCCCGTCATCGTGCATACAAAGCTAGAGTGGATTGCATGTGTTTGGGTATTCTGCCTCAGTGTACATCAAGCGGGGTATGTAGCTTGAAGAACTTGTACTCCGAGTCTGTGTGCTCATTCTTCTGCAGGTCCAGCCTGATAATTCAGATCCTAGTAGTAGAGTAGGTAACCTTTAACCTTTTTCGGGTAGTATAGTTCGTATATAGCCAAACAAGTGAGCCTTTAGTTCCCCATGATACGCGACAAGTAGGGAGACGCTACTGCTTTCGACCCATCAGTCTTCCGTCCTGGAACATGGACCCTGCAGTCGAAAACATGAAAACCTGAGCAAAGGGGTACTTCAGTACATTAGGGTTCCTGTATAGGTCCCCAACAAAGTCCGGCACGTGCAGAACAAGGATCCTGAAAGGGAGCCTAATTTAGAGACTACCGTGATTATTCCACAGTAACAAAACCCTGACGTCTTCAAGCTCTCAAGTCTGAAATCTTAACTGACCCTAACCCTGAACCAACAACCCCTAAAGCCTCAAACCATGAAGTCCAGCCAGGAAGTTCTGCGGGAACTGAAGAAGATCCGCGAGGACTTGCACCAGCAAAGCACTCTGATGGCCCAACAGGACGGGAAGGGGTTTGGGGTTTCTTGCAAGGCATTTGCGCATTTGACCACAGATTGACAGGCTTTTAAACAAGTGCAGTAGAAGCCTGAGATTACCGTTTAGGACCGAGGGAAAAGATCTTATGGCTCATACTGTGAAAGGTTTCTACAAGAATCGCAGTCAAGACACCTGACTCCAGTGCGGATATGTAGCAAGTTCGAGACAAGCTTCCTATCCCCAAACTGCAGAAGTGCAAAAGCCTCACATCTTGAAGCTTTGCCCTCTGTCTTGAGCCACTACAAGGGCCTCGCATTCAATGTGCGAAGGCTTAGGGTTTAGATTTTTGGAAAGGCTTGGTTGAGTCCTAGATAGGCGGCGGGACTTCAGAGACAGAGTACGAATAATCATCATGACAGTAATGACAATCGTAGTAACAACAATGACAAGAGTCATATTCATAAGTTAATAATGATAAGAAAACTAATAAGAATAAGAACAATAAGGTTTTATAATAGTGATAATAAGTAACTAATAAGAAGCAGAACAATACGTTTAATCATAATGATAACCAGTAACTAATAAGAAGAACAATAAGAATGATACTCAGCAACTAGTAAGACGAATAATAAGAATGATAATGATGATGCTGATAAGCGCCATGGGACCGCCCCCGACATGGACAGGAGCAGCGCGTGCAGGATCAGGAAAAACAGCTCAGCGATCTCCAGGCGCCGGCTACCCACAAGATGCCAACAGTGTGAAGTTAACGGATACATTGAACTTTATTTATACCTTTATTTGCTATAGTTTATATAACATGCAAGATACGTATACATCATGTCTTAGCATCGACAGACAGACTAGGGTCTAGGGTGTCTATAGAACGCTGGAGCCCCAGTGCTGGACGCTGGGCATTTAGTCAGTATTTGATGCGAATCCGTGGCTTCTCCTTCTATGTGGTATATTGGGGATTTCAAGGAAAATGGGGCGTCAGCTTTCCCTTTGCGGTTCTTGGCTTAGTCATGATATTTCCGAGTCGTCCCGATACAAGCAGACTGCAGTGACTCCAGACTGGAAGATGCCTCAAGACTTTATTAGGGTTGAGGGTTTAGGAGTTTAGGGTTTTAACCTAATCATCAAGGCCCCTTTCTCCGGGATTCTCTCTTAGGCTCTTGGTATCCAAAATCAGAATCTGTTTTTTTTTTTTTTACGGGGGCCCACGGGGCCACAGCTTAGAGCAACCTCCATGCAAGATCGTAAAGGACCCTGGTATGGACGCTAGATTCCGGTAGATACCCTGAATGGTAGGATTTTTGTTAGAAGGGTATTTTGAAGAAGACCTCAATTACGGTGATGCTGCTGTCCGGGTTTAGGGTGTATATACGGTTTATTGAGCAAGATTCTCCGTGCAGCTTTACTACATACAGCACCGCTTATTCAAAAGCATTTGTTTAAACCCGAATCCCTAAGCCTCCCAAACCCTGTCATAGATCCCCCCTGATTCATAAACCCTAAACCCTAATCCATACTCCCCAAACCTAAACCCGGAACTCTCTTTCATCCCCGGAGATCAGACCCTGAAAGTCAAACCCTGAACCCTGACCCCCATAATACCCAAACCTAAACCTGTGATTCCTTCGTGGGAACTGTGCAATCACCTCTATCTGTAGTAGAGATACTGCGGACTATGTGGAGCCTTGCCTGCCTTGTGCGAGTGTGAGCGTCAAAAACCCTAAACCGTAAACCCGCAGAGATCAGACCCGGAAAGTCACAGGCTGAGTTGCTCCGCGAGACAGAGGCGCGCAGAGGGCAGCCGGAACAGACTCGGTGTGGGAGCTTCTGACTCAAACGTTTCAGGATTTCGGGGTTTAGCCCTTTAGGGTTTAGGGGTTAAACGGGGCTACGAGTTTCGTGGGCGCTGGCCGGCACCTCAGTCCGTGCTGAAAAAGGGGTTTAAGATTTAGGGGTTTAGGGGTGCTTGTTTGTAGGTAGGCCGCAATACTACCCATTCAAGATCAGAGCCCCTGGCCCTAATTTCCGAATCCCGCAGCCCAAACCTCAAAAGCATACACCCTAAAGCCCGTAGACTATAGACCCTACATAAGCCTGCACCCTGTTCAATCTAAACGCGAAAACCTTGAAAGCATTGAAGCGGGAGTCGTCGTGACCTTGCCTGCCTTGTGTGAGTTGCGAAAGCCAAGAAGCTTGAAAGCCTTAAAGTTAGGGGGGAGCGCTCTCTAAACCCTCACCCCTAAACACGTCCTTCGGTTGATGATATAAATCCTGCATTACCTTAAGGAACCTAAAGTACGGGCATTATGGTATGTTCCTTAATCTGGGTAATGCAGGATTTATATCATCAACCGTTGCTAGGTAGGAGGGAAAAACACGACGGGTCTTCGAGTCTCATCTCAAAAATTCCTATAGGGTCATACCCTACCCCTTTTTTACGGTACCCAAGAGAACCTACCTATAGCCTCCATTGTAGTTCCGTTTTTTGGTTAACCAGTTCTATGGTTAGGAGCCTATAATAGAGATTTTGGTTAACCAAAACATGGAACTACAATGGAGACTATAGGTAGCCATAAAACTAGCTACCCTAAAAAAGGGATACTTGGAGGGTCGGGGGACTTAGTAACTGGTTATTTTAGGGACTTATAAGTACCATTACCCCAATTAGAGTCCCTTTTAGGGTACTTATAAGTCTACTTACTACCTACTTACTAAGTCCCGCGACCCTCCAAGTAGGGTATGACCCTCTGCCCGAGGAGCAGCTCGAGAAGCCCCGGGAGCGAGGACCGGATGGTGAGGAGACCATCGGACGCTACGGTTGATGATATAAATCCTGCATTACCCATGATAAGGAATATACCAGAATTACCGTAGTTTAGGGTCCTTAGGGTAATGCAGGATTTATATCATCAACCGTATGACAGGGAGACTTTTATGAGGGTTATAACGTTTGCTTAAAGGGTTTTGTGGTGAGGGCCTTCAATCTTTACGCCCCCCGGGATGTCTAAAGGGTTGCGGGAGGGGTTGAGGGTGCAGGGCTGGGGAGATGAGGTGTTCAGAAGAAGGGGGCGTTTGGGGCTCGTGAGGTTCAGGGTTTGGGTCAAGGGGCTCGTGGCTTATGTCTTTGGGGTTTCGGGTTGAGCTGGTTTGGGTGTTTGGATTCTCGGGATCCAGGACTTTGGTACTTCGGGATTTTTTCGTTTCGGAGCAGCAGAGGTTGGCTTCGAGCGATGGCCTTGCAGGGTCTAGGGTTTTTTGGTGTTAAAAAGGGTTTCATAGCATTGGGAACTGTGGACAAAGTTGTCACACCATCAACCCCTATGGCAATTTGCAAATGCCACGAACCAGAAGTGCGTCCAATCTGTCAGCTCCTTATCCTACTTGTAGGCCGGATTTGTATATCGAGGACTTTGTGTACGCATGTCCGGTGGTGTGGCCAGAAGCCTGCGGAGTGCTGCCATCACCACTGCCGCAGCCGTCATGATCGTCGGTATCATCATCATCATCATCAGCGTCGTCATCAGTACCACGAGCACATTGTCAATTTGTCCATCAGCTTCATCATCATCAGAAGCAGCAGCTACATTGTCGTTATCATGTTGTCCGTCATATTCATCATCATTGTCCTCGTCACTACAATCAGAATCACCATCATTATCACCACGATCATCGTTGTCAGCAATTCTTGTCATCACCACTGTCGTCATTCCTCTAATCATCGGCATTGCACCCTACGGCCTGATAGAACTGCCCAAAGAGGAGCTTCCTGACGCCCGGGCCATCCGAAAGAAGCTGGAGGCACGAGTCTCCCAGCATTTCCCAATGTTGGCGACGATTGGCCATATAGGAGTGCCCGAGCCCGCTGCTGCGTGCAATTCCTTGAATTGATGCCGTCTGCATCCTAAACCTCGCCTGAGCTTCTCGATACGGGAGTTTCCGAAAATGGGAGACCCGAATATGGCACCCCAAATTGTAGGATCCTTATCATAAGGAGCGCCAAATAAGGTACCCCTAATTTTCGGAAACTCCCATACCACGCAACAGCCCAAAAAAGAATGCCAGGCTCACAAGAGTTGGAAGCCTCCACACCTGAACTTGGAGGATCGGGGGACTTAGTAAGTAATTAGGTAGTAAGTAGACTTATAAGTACCCTAAAAGGGACCCTAATTGGGGTTATGATACTTATAAGTCCCGAAAATGAACCCTTCGCCTTGCTGATCGCTCAACCCTGGACTTTTCATCCAAAGCCCTACAAAATCTCATCATAGTGCAGGATTTTGTTCAAACACTTAGATCGTGAACGGGGGAACTTTAAACTTTTTGGCCTTATATGTTAGCTCTATCTTCGAGAGTTTGAACTTTTTGGGGCCCAGTTGTTGAAAAAGAGACCAGCAGTCCGGTGGAAGGGCGCTACAACAGGTTAGAAGCGGTGTTGATATCATCATCCTTAGACAGACTGTTCGACAAGCCAAACTCCACTCGTGTGCGGAGGCGGATCGCCAAGACTTGCTAAGCCAGCGCTCTTTCCAGGTGCTTGGGTTCGATTTGGGGGTTTGAGGGTTGATCAAAGGGGAAAAGGAGGGACCCTGAATGGGGACCCCTACCCTATAATGGGCTATATAATGGGTATATAATGGCTATATTAGGGGTATATATATATATATATATATATATTTATATTTATATTTATATATATATATATATATATATATATATACGTAGGGGTCCTTATTAGGGGTCCCTCCTTTTACCCTTTGGGTTGAGGTGTTTTTGGGGAATTCAGGGGTTTCGTAATCCGAAGCCGGTTGAGATGGCCGGGACATGATTCCGTGATTAAGAAACCTTGGGCCTTTATTAGGGTTCCCTTAAAGGGGTCTACAAGGGTTACTATAAGGGATCTACAAGGGTACTATAATCATGTAGGAACCTGATTAAGGAACCTTGGGCCTTTATTAGGGTTCCTCATATGAATGCGATTATTTTGGGGTTCTAGGCCCAGGGTTTCTTATTCGGGTTCCTGCATTACCTTGATGCACACCAAACCCGATCTGCTCGTCTTTCACGAAGAAGCGCAACAAGATGAGGTGCATTGGGCTTCCTCCGAGTCTGGATGGGTTGTTGTTTGGGCTTCCAGTCCAGTGTGTGCAGCCCCCTCCAGCCTAAATCCTCAAATCCCAAAGCCCACCCAGTCCTATACTATCCTATACTCCCAAGCATCCGAAAGCAACTACACCCCTTCTTCTGAAAGGACGAGGACCAGCCAACAAGGCTACCCAAAGCCCGCTCTTCAGCATACTTAGACAACTGCGCTTACATGCAGATGCTTCAACTCATAAGGCCTCCCCAGCTTGCGGCTTAGGGGCTAAACCCTAAACCCCCTAAACCCTAAACTCTAAACTCCAGACTTGAGCCCAGCAGGAAAACTATTTTCTTAAAACCCTGACACCTGCTCAATCTCACGGTTGATGATATAAGTCCTGCATTACCTTAAGGACCCTAAACTATGGTAACGATGGTATATTCCTTATCATGGGTAATGCAGGATTTATATCATCAACCCTAAACCCTAAACCCCCTATAGATCCCTTAAAGGAGCCCCTTAAAGGCACCCTTGTAGATCCCGTTAAAGGAACACCAGGATTTATATCATCAACCGCAGGAGCAGCAGCAGAAGCTGCGAGCAGAGCAGCAGCAAAGGCTGATAGCTCGCCTGGATGCGCAGCTGCAGAGCCCTTTGGTCTAAGACATTTACAGGTGGGTAGTTATAAGGTGGGTAGTTTCCCATAAGCCTCCCATACCACTCCTATATGGTAAAGGGGGTCTTATGGGAGTACTATGGAAGAGGAACTACTCACCTGTAAGGGGCTTCTATTTGAGCATCATTTTGAAGACGACTCTTGTGAATTCTCAGATCGTAAGATGTTTTTGATATTTGGTTTTTATCTCGGGTTGAACTGTCCGTGGCCTTAGATCCTGCACCCTCAACCCTTGAACCTTAAATCCTGTACCCTAAAATTGACATCCAAAGCTCTAAACCCTAAGCCTTATAGAATCCAAACCTTGAGCCCCTAAACCCCCAAACCCAACACCCCTACCTTAAACTACCAGAACCTACTTTTTTGCAGGTTCTTATTCCGAGTTCTAATATGATTTTGTAGGGACCCTACAAAAGTGTAGGTTTTGGTATATACAGTGGATCCCAGAAAGTTGGAACATGGATTAAGGATCATTAGTGCTAGGATTCCCTATACTTTACCTTAAGGCATCAGGATAGTAATGTTCCAACTTTCTGGCTTCTACTGTAGGCCCAGAGAACCCAATACCCCTTAATTACGGAATATTCCTTACATCATAATATTAAGGCCTCTATAATTTAAGGTATATAGTTAAGGTACAGCCTTTTTCGCGCCTTCGATCGGTGAGGCCTCGTTGCGCTGTTGGCCAAGATCCAGGGGCAGCGTGTCCTCTCGAGCCGAGGGCGCGAGGAGGCCTGGTTTAGGAGACTTCTCTCCTTTTAAGGTTTAGGGTTTAGGGTTCATAGGCCGGGATAATGGATGTCCCTCCTGTAGGGGTTTAGGGTTGGATATCCCTCCTTCAGGGATTAGGGTTTATAGGCCTAGTTTACGAGATTTCCTTCCTTCTAGGGTTGCTTTAGGGTTTAGGCTTTACAGGCCTGGTTTACTAGATTTCCCTCCTACTCCTATAGTGACCCAAAACCATATAAACCGACAGTATTGAAGCTTAGGCTTGGTAGAGACATGCCATACCTCAAGTATATGTTTACGTGGTTTGTTGGTCTCCTATTCTTGTCGGCGCTATTGTAGCAAGAAGAACCCACAGGCCTAAACCAGCATGCGCCATGCGCTGCCTCGTGGTGATTTGAGGGCTGAGGTTCACAAACCATAAGAAGGGCTTTGAACTACCTCAAGTTTCATGGGGTTCTAAGTAGGGTTACTATAGTTATAACCCATATTTGGGGATTTATAATTACCTCCATTTCTAACCGCCCATGAAGCTTCAAGTATGGGCCAAAAATGCTATGATCGCCAACGGGTGCCCCAAAGAGATTCACTTCGGGGGCGAACTCCGCGTTGTTTGATCTTCCAGATGCCACCATTCATGGAACCCTTGAAGGAAGCCTGAACCGCCCCTGAGAGTAATCCTTAAAGGAACCGGCGCTGTTGCTGGCGAATCACAAAATCTGCCGTGGATTGCTGGGGGCCGTATTAATACTCCACCGGGCCACCGGGGCCCGAACTTTTTGAAACCGCTCAAGCCTTTTCATCCTTTAAAGGAGCTTTTGGGCTGAACCCGGAATTTTTCTGGATCCCTTAAATTAAAAAGAGTTTTCGAACAAAAAGCCTTCTGGATCCCTTGAAGGATCCCTGAGATCGGAGGCCTCAAAATGTGGGATGATGGTAGGTAGGATTAAGGATCCCTTATGCAAGGACTCTTGTTTAGGTTTACCTCGCCCCAGCTTCATCTTACCTTTGGAGCCCTTTGATTAGAACCTCCCTGCCGGATCCCTTAAAAACCCTGTCATCCCGGCAGGTCAAGGAAGAGGTGCTGAGGGACTCGCGGGATCGCGAGGAGTGGCTTCAGGACCAGGGTTTAGGGTTGAGGGGTTTAGGGGTTTAGGGATGGGAGGTAGGGAAGTCAGCGGGTCTTAGGAAGAAACATCCGGTTCTTTTGGGTGTTTTATACAGAAACATGGACTTTCCATGCGGTGCGGGTGTAGACTCTACTTTGAATATGCAGACGACAAAGACATGTCCCTATTCAACTGTGCGATCCCTACATTCGAGGGGCTGCAAGAAGTTCAGGAGGTGAGGTCGGCATAAGGTAGGAGCTTGAAGAACCTTAGGGGTACTTAGAAATATTTTTGTTTTTTGTCATTATAATACCTAAGAAACAGCTAAAAATATAATTTTTGCTAGGGTTCTAAGTTCAGTAGAGGAATTAGTTGTGCAATACCCTGATAACCCTTATGCAGCAGCATCTATCTACTTATCATGGCTCCTATGATATGTGAGCTATACAGCCCGAGCACTGAATTGATTGAAATTGGTCTAAATGCCTCTACGAACCCTGAACACTACGGCACACAAGTCCCCAAAGCCAGACCTCGCGAGCGGGCATAGGCTCCCTAGCAATGCGAGAACCCTGCAATGCCGGAAAGTTCCTGAACCCCAAACTCTCGAAGCCCTAAGCCTCCTCTAACCCCCCCAGAGATCCCAATACCCCCCAATTAAGGAATATACCTTAAATTTTTGAGGCCTTAATAGTATGAGTTAAGGTATATTCCCGAATAATGGGGTATTGGGATCTTTGGGCTTAAACCGCCCCACTCCCCCCCTCCTGCCCGCTCGAAGGAACTACGGGCTGTGGAGCTCCAACAACGCGAGATCTTCCTGGAGGTCAGAATTGCAAGCTGTTAGGGTGCCCTGTAGGGTTCCTGTTTGGGGTTTATGATATAGGACTTAGGGTTTAGTGTCTTTTGGGGTGGATTTTTTTTGTTGGGAGGGGGGGGGTCGGATGTAGGACTTGGGGTTTAGCGTCTTTTGGAGGGGATTGTGTTGGGGGTTTCGGATATATATATATATATATATATATATATGTGTGTGTGGGACTTTGGCTTTAGCGTCTTTTAGGGGATTTTTTGGATGTCGGATATAGGACTTAGGGTTCTAGGGTGTAGGACTTAAGGACGTTGTGTTTATAAGGGTTTAAAGTCTAGAGCTCGCGTTTCCGGATGTGCAAGAATTTAAAGTTCGCTCTACAAGGGAGGGTTCAGACTTCGGGGGCCTGGACGTTGCAGTCATGGAATTGGGTGATGGCAGGGAGCGCCAATGCATTGCAGCTGCAAGAGCGTGCAAAGCCCCACACCTCTAAGCCCTCAGCATGCTTGATGGTTCATGTTTCCGGGTTTCGGACTATGCTTTAATAAAACTCCGAGCAAGTTACTTTTGACCTTCCCTGCGACTGCCCTATGCCGTGGGCTCTAGACTTTGTGGCAAGCTACACACAGAGAGACCTTGGATTCGGGAATGTTCTTTCCAAGCTGGAGGCAGGGGGATCGGGGCCCTAAACCCTACTTGCTGTCCTACCTGTAGCCCATAACCGTACAGCATAGTAGGGTACGACCCCTCAACCATGTGGCCTAAACCTTAAAGCAAGAAGGTTTCGGATCCACAAGCATACTAAAACTACAGGAACGAGGCAGTCAGGGCATGACCTCAGGGGGCCAAGGGTTTACAGCTGAGGTGTTTACACTAGGGTTTAGTTGGTCAGCAGTTTACAGTCTCCGACATCCCCCAAATCCAAAGTCTCCTTAAACTCAAAACCCCTCAAATCCTCAGTCTCCTTAAATGGCCTTGACATCAAACCCCACAGAAAACCACGTAAGTTCCAAGCCTCATCCAGAGGTCCCCGAGGGCCGGGGGGGTCCAAGGGTTCAAGGAACTCAAATCTATAGCCGCTAATCTTGAAGGAGCGCTGCGGACTGCTGGCAGAGGGTGGGTATCAAAGCC